GCAGTTTAGTCTGGGTACGTTTTATTAGATTCGATCATTAAGGTTCAGTTTGACAGTTTTACAAGTGCTTGCCTTTCCTAATAAGCTTAAAGTACATTTCTTGAAACCAAACGAAAAAAATCAATCTCTTTCAAAAGCACTTATATATTTGCAGTGAATTTTCAATTCAACCAATGACTCAGTTTTGTTTTCGACTGAAACACACTGGAACCATGCTTGGTATATTTTAGACGCCGTTAACCGATGACCAACAAAGTGAAGGTGTTTTGGTTTCTGAAGCGTCTGTTACAACTTTTTTCCAGTAAATTCACAGCCATAAGGGTAGCTGCATATTATCTTAAAATTTCGTCCTCGGAATTATGATTCTCCGTTCCATCAGTCTCTCTTGATGTCCAGTCATCTAGTGAAGGCTCACTCTAGCGGCAGGTCGTCTCTGCAAATCATCTTAAACATGGCCTGTTAACAAAAGCGATTAATAGAAAGTTTGACATGGACAAGTAAAATCCATTCGTAAGACGAATGAGACTTAACAAATTGTGATTTTATTAGTTGTCCATCGCCAATTTTTTTGTCTTTCTTTGTTTCTTTGTTTTTTGTTGCTCGCGCGTGAAGTGATTGTCTTTGGACAACTGGGGTACGGAAAGAATCTTCCGATGTTTCGGGCCGGCTCGTACACTGGCTTGGTATTGCTGAAACAATTGTTCACCTCAGTTTCGTTGAAAGTAGGGGATATTTACCTCCACTTCGGTGAATAACCCGCAACCGAATATTTTGGGCTATTACGCGACCACAGACGGCGAAGAACGGCTGGAGACCACGTGACCAAGCAAGGTCTTCAACGCCAGTTTTTATCGGGGAGAGGAAGTTTGTCACATAAACCATTTACCTGCAGAGGGCATCGTGATAATGACGCAGAGTCGCTGATGAGAGAGTCATTTTCGGATTCTCTGAGATGCAATTGTATCTTTGGAGTATAGGTACAAAATAATTATTAACTCGTTTACTCAAAAATTGGTTGGTTTGATTTATTAGATTCGTGATCAACATAAAATGCCTCGAAATCTGTCTCTTTTGTCAAGAGGGAAGCTTAACCGAAAAGAATGATCTAATCACACACGCAAGCGAAAATCACGCGTAGCGTCCAGGTGTGGCACGCTGTTGAACAGCATAACACTGTAGAACATTCAGAGAATTAGATCTCGTGGCTAATCTCGACTCCTTAGACTCTTGGGTCAGGCTCTCAGGTTCGTATATTGTTGTGAAATGCGACGAATTCAGGTTTTGAAGCTAAACATGCAAGCGAGCGAAGATCACGCGAGCGGGTGCCCTCGCGTGATGATTATGCTTTTGAGTGAAAAGCGTCAAGCATAACAGGTGAAAATAATAGTTTGGCAGAAAATGATGCAAATAAGCGTTGACGAGGGAAGTTCTGCTTCATTTTTGTTTGAGCCATATGCTTTATTTTGATTGGTACACGGCAGACACGGGAATCAAAACAGCTAAACCAAAGATTAGCCGCAGTCTTTTTACAGCAGCTAGTCCACTTGTTCCTTGTTTTGGCGTACGAACCTATTCACGCTCGCTAAAAAAATGTTTAGGTATCGCCTGTGTAAAAACAAATTCCCAGGATAGAAGCAGACAGCTATAGCTGGCTTTACTGAAACGTCCAGTCGCTGACCTCAGGATGACCTCACGTGTGAATTCTAGAAGCCACCCAATCGTAACGAACTTAGGCACTTTGCCGCATACTTGTTAAACCCGATTACTGTCTTTGTAAGAAACAAGACGCCTAAAGTTGTTTCCGTGGGATGCGTTGGTCTATGGAAGCATAATGGTGTTCTATCTAGGTAAATGGAACAAAACAAAACAAAACCTCCGCTTGCTTTATCCAGGGTCGAACCCAGGGTTACAAAGTTCGATAAAGTTCCAATGTTTTAATCCAAGATGAAAGTTTAATATTCCAAAATGCTCTTGATACGGTTAAAAATTAATTGCAATGTGTTTCCAAGGTCTCAAAGTTAACATAATTCCAATGATTATCCCTGATTCCAAGGAATAATAAGTTTACTCATGTCCTGATCCGTGTCCCATCCAGAAGTCCAATCCATGCCGAAAGCGAGTCGTCGATCGACGAGGACAATATTTTCGCGATTTCAACGCCAGTCGTCAAGGGTACGAGTTGAAATTTACGCGATTTAACCTCCCGTCGTCAAGGTGTTTTCGATAAGAAAAGAAAAAAACTGAACTCTAGCTGTGCGCGGCAAAAACTGGCGAACTCCGAATAGAAAAATCTATCGGAAATCACGGCCCGCAACCAGACGCTACTAAAACCTTCTCAAAAAGCTAGACCTAAACAAAAAAGAATCATGAAGGAAAGAAATAATTTGGCTTAGGTCGCCTTTCGTGACTTGCCAGTATCCGGAAGGATTTCGCTGGTTAACAAGCCATCCTAAACCACGAGTGGGAAAACTCAAGCGCGACAAATTTGGCAAGGAACGTTCTTCAAAGGAAGAAAATCGATCAAAAATCGATACAGATTTCGTACAATCTGATTGGTCGGCTTGGAAGAAGAGATAATCGATAAAGATTTTAGGCAATCCTGTTGGCTGGCTTTGCAATTTTGGGTACAACCGAACCGGATTTTTACCGTGGGAGTGCCACAGGCATCCCACGGAACAAGAATTGTTGATTAACTGAAATTTATTTCATATGTTCAATAAATTATGATTTTACTTGTACAAAGTACTTTCAATAGTAGAATCAAACACCTGTCATGTACGATAGTTTTTTACAAATTCAATTTTGGTTTCACCAAAAACCACTGGGAAAACACTTGACAAGCTTTTAAGTAATGGCATATGTGTGTTTATTCAACTTAATGGTAAGACATATTTTTTTCAGTAGTCCTCAAAAGAAATCTTTTAACTACGCCAAAAAGAAAACTGCTTGGTCATTGCCACCTGAACGATGAAGTTGTTGTTCCAGTGGCTGAAGAAAATATCATTGTTTTAATACAAACACAACCGCATTTGTAAACTGACACATCGGAAGCCACACCTTTCTACTTTTTATGACTGTCAGCTTTAAGCTTCTTGTGTTTTATGCGGCCGGAAATTAGGAAAAGAGTAAACCTCTGTCATTTTTACAATCTTAAATGAAAATTTCCGCTTTGGTTAAGTGCAAGGACGGATGTTGTTGGTAATAAAAAGAGAAACGAGGGCTTTACTTTTATTTCTCTGTAGAATATATGTCTTCTTGAGGTTATGTTAAAAGGAGTACAGTTTGGCCAATAGAGTAAGATTTAGAATCAGATTTAGTATATCTCCTTTGTAATGAGGAAGTGAAAACAGTATGACCAGTTTCGGAGTATTTTTTTAATGGGAATATGTTTATTTTTACGTGAATTGCTGTAAAGTTTCAAAAGACAATTGCCATTGCTATCTACTTTTATTTTCGTGGGCTAATGAAAACTGATCCCTTTTATCGTTTCTATCACGTAGCCGTGGGGATAATTTTTTTTATCATACATGTAAATTTGGAATTAGTTTGCCGTTTCAAAGGAGAACAAAATGTCAATATGTAAAACAACCATTGCATAAATATTTTATTATTTCCTTTGCGGAGACAATTGAATTTTCCAGAAATCGTAAATGTAGCTTACGGTTCGATCGCCTCAACGCAAACTTTTACCATACCTAGTAAACGAAATAGTAATATAATTCGATAATTTAAAGTATGATAAAACTTATGTGAAGATGAAATTGAAAATAAAATTTCGAAACTTACTCTTAACCGGCCGTTCCTTGTATTCAAAGACTTCGTTTTTCCGTCTTTGCTTTAGAAAACCGCGGAGCCGAATGATTGCGAAAATAACTTGCAGGATTGATGCATTTCTATATTTTTTCCGCACTTATGAGATGCCAGGTCAGTTCTTTTTAACAAAACGTGACCTACAGCACTCTTAAGCGATAAGATATTCTATAGATACAATTCCTAAACGTTTTTAAACTACATGAAGTATTCTTTGATTTGATTGGTATGAAAAGAAAAGGCTTTAATACACATATTGAAAGAATTGAAGAGATACGGGCGTTGTTTTGATTGAGGCTCAAACATTTTTTGCTGCGAGGCAATATCATACAAAATGACTGTCCTTTTCTATTTTGATCAACGGATACCTTCTTATACTTGCGTAATATGTGCAGGAATCACTTTTGGTTAGAATTTATCGGCTAAATATTCTGTACCGTATATTTTGTGGTCTAAAACGTGTACTGTTGATTAAATATGCGGATCGCCAAACCGAAAGATTAATAGTTGTGGTAATGCCAACCTTTCCGTCTTTGTTGTTTAGCTATAAATCATCGACCTTATTTACTTCTACTTATTGAAGACAAGCAAGTATACCTATTTTCTTTATTTAGTACTGCGTTTTCTTTTTCTTGGACACAAGCTTACCGAGACAAACTTCACTTCGAGCCATGTTGTTATGGGGTTGGCTGTCATTATAGGAGGATCCCCGCCATTCTGTTGATGTTTTTTTTCGAGGTAGTTCACGCCTACCTCCATTACAAAGCTAACTGAAAACCAATAAAACAACTCCTTTGGTCGAGTAACCTTGAGCTGAAGAAAAATACGCTTTCTAGAAAATAATACTTGGAGTAATCTGAGATTAAAGGAGTGCGTTAGTCGTTTATGCCATCCTTTGCATCTTTTTGCGCATGTGCAGAGATATAAATTTGATCAATGCCTACGTCAATATCCTTCATCGCTTCACTCAGCAAGACTCGCGATTTAGGATTCTTTAATTAAGGCGAGCTGAATCATCACTTTCCAGTATTACATCGGCAGAGCAAAGTGAAGATGTCGAAGCTTATACCGTAGGGGGACTTAATTTTTTTGTAAAAGGTCAACTAGGTTCATAGTTATCCATTGCTGGAGGATCTACAGTCAATTTGCTCGTACGTTTCTGGTTAGGAAGCCAGCCAAACACTAAGAAGATGTGGCTTTTAGTGTTGCTCTTTGTCCCGGTTTCTTCTCATTACTATCTGAATACAAGTGATCAGGGTAAGGAAAAAAAGCATTTATTTGCATTTTCAGCTTCAAAACCTAGCTTTTAAATAGTTTGCCGTGCTTCCCTCTATCTTCTATGAATTTCTTGTTTTGAAAACTTATTTTTGTTTTCAGTAAGAGTTCAAAAAGGTCAATGCGTGTTGTTTCGAACACTAACTCGAAATTTTGTTTCTAATTATGTTACATCTTTTTTTCGTGTAGGTGGAACAGTTTGTGAATTTCAAAAGTTCCGTTGTAGCTGATCTACGTTACAGTTAGTTTTTGTATTTTCAGCACGACAGATATTTATTTTAATTTTCACTGACCTTTCTATTGTCCGCTTAACTACATGCATCATTTACAAATTCATTTTATCCACTGTGATTGCAAAGTATCTGTTTTCATAAAAACGCAATTTATTTAAATGGCTACATGCTGAGATTCATTTTCTAGTGGGGCGAAAATAAAGACTGCAACCAATATAATTTTTTCCCCTTCGTCAGGTCTAGATTTCCGTACTTTCATTATTCATGTGATTCTCTCTCTCTGTCGCTTTTTGTTTAATCCCAAAATTTCGTGACACGATAACCTTATCTTTAATCTTTAATTATCAGAATATTTATCATTTTTTCTTAACGCTTGTATGATAATGTAAAAGCAAAATCTGCTCTCTTGCTTCCGTAAATGCCCTTCTTCATTCTCTTTCCAACTAGCTTTTTCCATCAAATGTTTTCATACGAGTAAAAATGTTTCGTTTTTAGGAAATATCATTTAAAATAGAAAAAAGGAAAATCGAACAGATAGGACGTGCCTGAAACATAAATTTAGCTTTGGCTTATCTTGTACATCCGGTAGCAGCCACTTTATTATTATTACTTTACTTCACTTTATTATTCGTTTTGTCTGCACTGCAACAGCTAGGGTTCCCTTTTACTCAGTAAAAGAAGGCTGCGGGATCTTAAACCCCCATTACTCTGTCAAGTGAGTTTTTTTTTTTAAAACGTTGTCCTTCCAGTTGGTGGTACAAATCGATAAATATTGTCCTTAACGAAGGAAAATAAGTACTATAGTTTTTCACTTGTTTAGGGTGGATGTGAGGGATTTTAGGGTGGATTTGACTGAATCTCCTGTAACTCGACAGCCCCTACCTCTAGACTTTCCCAACCTTTCCATGTCGGTGCTTGCTTAAAATAAACCAGGTTAAGATTTTAACTGTCAAACAGACATTATTTAAAGAGTCCTCAGTCCTACTTATCAACTTAGCTGCTTGTAAACTCGCTTATCTTGTTTTCAGTAAAGGGCAATCGGTGTGTATTTAGTTGGTGACACTTTGAAGCTGAGGTCAGTTGCAATTGGCTTTCAGTATGGCCACCTCGGTAATACGCACACTTTGTTATTACCGTCCCTTGTTCTGGCCCGTCATACATTTATTTTTCTTGTAAAAAAACCTTGTTAACGCCGGAATCCGTTTTCACGGCCACCGGCCACATTATAGAAACCCAAACGGAAGAATCTTCTCATCAAAAAGCCTTTTTGTGGTTTCTTCAGTCAAAGGATAAGACTGACACAGCAGATGCCCCTTTTCAAAGTCGTGAATAGTATTGTACTATGATGTGCATGTAAAAAAAGTCAAAGAGCCCAGGACTTCCGTTTTCAGAAGCACATAGGATGGGCTTAAATTGAGCTATTTGTCGTCAGCATATGGTTAATTCTTCGGCTTAAACCGGGTGCTTAAAAAAACTAGCGTTGCTCCCTTTTTACTTTTTCGCGATTATTCCTACTCTTTCATGTGAAACTAGTTGTAGCTGAAAAGAGGGCGAATCCGAAGAGGGGCCGATTGCGTTCGAGCTCAGATAGAATGGATGCAGAAAATTTATCGCCTTAGTTGCCGTTCGCGTACAATATGTCGGAACTTGGAAAAAATGGTCACGGGAAGGAAGGGTACTGGAGTCGCGGGTGAAAAGTTGTTGTTTTGCCCATTAAGAGACCTGCTTGTTTGAGTTGCTCTTTAATGTCTTCGTCGTTACTGGTTAACTTCCTTTTGATTATGGTACGTGGTGATTCTCGCTCCCCGGCAAGGTTCATATGAGAGTTTGCTGCTATTCTCGGTCCTCTCTCAGCTACCAAATAATTCTCATGTGGGTGACTTGATATAATTGCCTTTTTTTATCAGTACAGTGCGAGGTTATCTCTTGCCCCAAACCATCAGAGAGGATTTTTGTCACCTGCAAATATCATGACTCTCATAGTCATGTCTATTTTCAGTAAGTTAATCATTTAATATAATGTTAAATAAAACTCAAAGTTATCAGAGTTAACATTGTATTTTAATAATCTGACAGCCTGTTTTTCTCCATTCTCTTGAATTGTGTGACGCGTGTGCGACACCTTTTAAATAAAAAGGATTGCTATCGAATTACTATTTTTAGGCTCAATTAACATGATAATAGAAGAAAAATGGATTCCCGATCTCAGCACAGTTCTTCCCGTTCCCACACGTGCAAAATGAAATGGAATACAATTCAAGTGGCGAAAGGTTAATATGATAAGTAAGACTTTAAGGTTGACATGTTTTGTGATAACTTTTCTTTGTAAGGTGAATGTCGTCATTACGTTAGGTGCAACTCCCGCTTTCCTTCATGATGTAATCAGACATACAATTGTAGCAAATAGAACACGGAAAAGATTTCCAAAAACAGCAAGAGTAAAGAAATCACTATTTTTGTTGCCAACACTTTCTTCATATTAGCGTAGTTGAATACATAAGGAGAGATTAGTTAATATAAACTTTTCAGGGAAGTAAAATACTATCGTGTGTCAACTAGCCTGCGTTGCGGCCGGCCTACGAATCGTCTAGACTATTTGCGAATTAGTGCACAAAAGCTCGTTCTGATATCCAGCGGAGTCGCAAAGACATATGTGAGCGTTTGTGATAGGCAGGTTTCTTACAGGATTCTTACTCGCCTCACGATTGACCCAATTCTTACGCGTGCGTGACGGTTGGGTGCAGTGACATGTCAAAATTCACAGAATGGAGTTGGCAAGGAGCTTTTCATACGGTAAACAATGAAAGAGCAGTTCGAACTTAAAAGCCTTCTTCTGCACTAAAAGAAATGCGTTGAGAGTATTCCTTCAAGGCCAAATGTGTTTGTAAATTGCCGACTGGTTTTCTAGGGTCTTCTAATCGCTGCAGATACACTGCCGTGTATTCTGCAATCTAGCCGAGAGTTCTAGCGTCAAAGTAAATCAGGAAATCATAATATTCACAGAAAAAAGAAAACGGAGAATACCAAAGAAATTGACCAGCTTCATACTGTAACCTCAAAATGTGAGACTCGAAAATAAAATGATGCTTTGCTCAGTCAAAATTTAGAATACTTCATGCATTGCATAATGTGCATTTAAGAGAGTAAGCAAGAAAAACCTCTGTTGTCCAAGCTGACTCTAAGGTCACGTTTCACACCATTCTCTCTTGTCACTAGCTATGAGTCATGTTTGGCCTGTCAACACTTTATTTCAAATCGAACTAAACACACACTGCGTAAGAAACTAGCCAATCAAAAACGCCGACATATGTCCTTGCGACTCTGCGGGATTCGAACTCGATATTATGCACTAATTCGTAGAAGCTCTATACATAAGGTTTAGGGTTTAGGGTTTGCGATGCAGGTTAGCGTTAATTGAGAAAAAGTAAAAGTACAGTTTCTTGTCATGTATGTCATTAGACCATTTACACCGCATTACATTAGAGAACGCGGCATCCACTTATTACAAAATTGCAAAGAGTGTTACCAACGACAAATTTTGATACAGGTGTTGGTTACAAACTGCGACAAGTTTATTAACCAATGCAAGTTTGGCAGAAATAATTTTCATCTAACGAGAAGTCATTTCGATTGAACCTTAGAGAGGAAAACTTTGGATTTTTTTAATATCCAGATAAATATCGATTCGGATAACGATAACAAAGCATGGAGGTCGACACATCTAAAAGTATGTTAATTTACATCGAAAATTTTTATTGTTTAACATTAAGGTAGAGATGTGGTTTTTGGCATTCCTCGCAGTACCGGTCTTTTCACACTATTTTTACCACCTCAGCGACCAAGGTAACGAACACTAAAAACTTTTTTTTTGCTAGGTTTCGAAATAGCTTGTAGTGGTGAGATATTAGGCGTAATTATCTTTTGAAACAAATGGACTTGAATCGAGCACTGGTTTGAGTCGGTTCTTCAGGCACGGCCTTTAAAGTATATAAATTTCACATATTCATCCATACTATGTAGTAAGCTAGTAGTTGTGGAGGTGATTTAAGAGCAAGTTACCGACTTCTTCATCGCTGATAAAGTGTACGGGAATTTTTTCATTTAAAAATTATTTTGTTGTGTTACCCTAGAGAAAATAAAGAAATAAATGAGAACTTTTTTGTGGATCGATGTTTAATTTTTATAGTTAAAGTTGCTGGCATATCGTCCAAAAAATAGTGATTCAGAATCTGAACAAATTCCACACCTCCTGCATCAACGCTTCTTTAGTTTTTCCTTTTCCTTTTTATCACTGTCCTGTTATATAATTTATCACTGATTTTTTCCTTTGCAGCTTAAAAGCATGTAGGAAAATTTTCTGATAACTGATAAGGCAGATAAATGTTACAAGGCAAACATCAGACTGCAACTAAAATAAGCATCCATGTTGTCGGCATGTTATCCATTCGGTTCCCATTTGGTTTTAGAGATCTTTAGATAAAAGACGACGACGTCTTCGTCTACAGGAACTACTAAATGCAGTACTCGCGTGAGCCAGCGTTATTTTCGCGGGAAAACATGATAGCCGTCGGCATTTTACTACGGGTTTGTTGGGAAATTTTGTTATTTTGCCTTCGTTCAATTAAAAGCAACTTTCTAACTTTTCTGGGGAAAAGAAGTACAGTTGAACCTAAATCTTGTCTTAAATCTTCCCCTCGTAGTCGTCGTCGTCCTGGAATCTAAAAGACTCTATTGATATGCCGCCGCAATAAGAGACGTATCATTGGCTTTTGAGACAAAGAGTTTATGATTCAATGATCGAAACAATTTATGTTTACTTAAACAATTCATTTCAGAAACTCTCCATCTAAGTTACTTTGAAACTAAAGGTGCAAAGGCTTCACTGAAATGGTTTGAAATTAATATTTTCGTCACCTGACTTAAAACGATAACGAAATTGGAGCAAATAAGGATAAAAAAACCTCGTATTAAATTTAGAGTAGTTTGCCTAAAATTAAAGCCGATTATCTAGATCCTGAGTCGTCTAATAGGATTAAAGGGCGTACTATTGAGTGGGCACTGAAGAACTGAATATGTAAATTTAAGTTAAGTTACTTTAGTTGCGAAATGAGGAAAAAAAATGTTGTGTGTAACTAACACTAATCGGTGTCCATTCGATTGTGGTAGGAAATACTTTGTCGATGTTTAGTTGTTTAAAGCAAAATGGCCAGACAACACGAAAATAAATAATGCTGGCACCTCTTTTTTTTAGGTTAATATGAAGAAAGGAAATTTTGTTGGAAATTGATGATATCATTTAATTACTTTCGGCATATTCAGAATAACGTGATTTTCTTGTTTTAAGTGAATTCGACCATTAACTAATTACTTCTTTTTTTGAAATAACCACAAGACATTGCTGTATGTTCGACCTCTGTTCATAGAACTCTGATTTTGTCTTTTACCAATGCTTAAAAGATAGCCAATTGAGCATTGGATATCCTGGGAAATAATACAGGAAACCTTATCAGCCCGTTCGATAAGATTATCCTTTTTCTGGCGTTGATCAAGTTAAGCCTTTATTTCTTGCTTTCGGGCATGTAAAATAATCTAATAAAACAATGTAGCACGTACTAGAACTGGAATTGATTTGAAACAATTTTCTTTACGTGACATTCAGGGGTAACATGTGTAGTAATATTATTTGATGTTCTTAATTACCGAGTTTATCAACCAGAAAACTGTCGAAATGTCAGTAAACGTTACTTCAGTATATCTTTTAAGTGTTGTACATACTTTTTGGGAGCTGTACTCTTGCAATTGAAAGAAGGCATTATGACAAAAAGACATAATGGCGACTGCACTTCCGAGATTCTTCGTTATGTTGAAAACCTGTTTGATGTCAGGTAAAAATTCGAGTAATCTATCAGCAGCGCAAGATAGTAAGCATGATCCGAATCGTTCAATTTGGGCTGAATATATTTCTGTGGCTTCTGTGGATTTTTTGTTATATATATTTTTAAGTTTTCCAGATGTGCATGTTCACAAGTAGTCTTTACAGTCTTTACATTACATTTTCATCCTAATAAGCTTTCTAATATTTCTGCCAGCCTGCCCCGAACTTTCCCTAAGGCCGAATTCAAATTCCTCGGCTGACTTTTAAGTTACACGATTTTACAGGGTATAAGGTGGATAGTATGCCTACTGAATATTTATGAGCTTTTGAAGAAACCACAGAAACCCAGAGGAGTCAGTATGTACGATAGACAGGGAAAGCCTCTTTTTCAAAATATCGGACACATTTATGCAAGTTTTTCATGAATTCAATAAAAAATGCTTTTCATTTACAGAGGCAAATCCGGCACCGAAGAGCACTGCGATGTTCATGAGCAACCGCAAACCACGGATATGTAAAAATTACTCAATCTTCCTTTGTTTTAGTCAACTGCTGCGCCCATTAAACAATGTTTTTGGTACAGTGCTGACGAGGGAAGGAAATGATTGCTAAAATTCGGCACAAATTGACCGCAAGCTGAATGGACTAACAGCAGGGTCCACAATATTTTTTGTCTGCGGCTTTTAGTAACCTGTTCGATATCCATCTCAAAGCCTTTTTTAGTTTTTAAACACTTTTACCAGCCCTGCTTTGGTGGGAAACTCTTGTCTATTCCTCGTCAAGTGTTATTGGTGGCACACGATAGGATTGTGTTGCCGTCCAGTTTTGGTGTTTGTTTCAATTTTTATTTCCGTTTGGAGTTTCTGTTGTTATACATTTTCGTGGATAAAGAAAAACAAACCACAACACATAAAAATATGATTATTCGTGTATACTTCGAGTACTGCCATGAACTTGAAACAAATCCCTTTTTAGCCCAAATATAAACGAACAACAGATCGTTCCAGCGTAACGGCTGTTGATTGAGCCCATGAAGCCGGTTATAAGGATCCATCAGCATGCGTATTATGCCTAGTAGTTTAATTCGCGCTTGTGCGTAGTGCCACGATTTGTGATCTTGTCTTCATAAACCTTTTCAGCGGACTTACACAAAATACATGTGCACTTGTCGCGTGCATGCGTGAATAGTGCTCGTTTAAATGCGTGGGCAACCGTGCCGGGGCAAACCACGTACTTCACAAAATGCACGAAATGTTTAACAATACTCCTTTGGGTCGTCCACGCAATGTTCCCATTCTTTCGTCTAAAAGGAAAAAGATACAGCGATTTGTATGATTTCACTGTGGTGAAATGAGAGTTATTTTTTGGGCAGTGATTTGGAGCCTTTTTGTCAGTAAATGCCAACCACGGGATGTTGTGGAAGCCCGTTCTTCCCTGTCAAATTTAACAGGTTTTTCGCCATAATTGGCGCTAATCAGATCTGATAAATTATGTTATAAAACCCTTAATATTTAGCGCATTAACATTGACCGCACTATTTTTCTTTTCAGCAAATTGTCGCAGACCTCTCGGGATGGCGAGTGGGGAAATCCGAAACGAACAAATCACAGTCTCGTCGGCTTTCAACAACGACTACTCGACGTTCGGTGCGCATCGCGCACGTTTAAATCTCACCAGCTGGCCGCCAGGGTATCGAGCCGATTCGAAACAAGACACTGGATGGATAAAAGTAGAATTGGAGAAGAAAATGGTGATAACTGCCATTGCTACCCAGGGTTACGGGGATTCTAGCGTAGAAGAGTGGATTTCACGATATATGGTTATGTTCTCCAACGGAGGAGACTTTATGTATTTCAAAGATCTCGGCGGTAATCTTCAGGTATGTTTCGTCTTGTACCGTTTACCGATAAACAGTACGTGTACTGTTTTTCAGTTTTCTACTGACATTTTGATGAAGACGACCCAAACGGCTCACGTTTACCGGATCTGTGAGCGTTGATTATTTGCTTCTTTGCATGTTGATATAAGGGTAGATAATCAGATATCGTTCATCACTTTGGCTTTATACGGATACATGAATTAAATGCCGTACTTCAACACGTGCTTATTTTATATGTATATATGTATTGAAAAAATGCTCCTGTTTTTATATAACGCTTAAAGTTTCTCATTGTATGGATAAAATAACGATAAATTTCTTCTGATTTATAACCTGAATTTAAAAGGCTGGACGGTACTTTATCTGACATATTATGTCATCTTTTGTACCAGTAATCATTTCACTCTCAATTGCCACGATTAGGGTTGTCCAAGATTTGAAGATTTTATTCTCGTTACTCTGAAAACCGTAGACATAGTGGAGACTTGTTATTTGATATTTTTGTTTGCTTAAACAATTCTTGGAGACTGTAGTTTGCAAACTTGCACTTTTACGAAAAAATTATTTTGGCTTTGTACGACACAATAGAAACTTGCTGTCAACATAACGAAGTTAATATTTAATGCACTGGTTGGAAAATCCTCTGCCGCATCTTATTTGAAAAGAAAGCAAATGATAAATTAAAAAAAAAGAATGCAATTACTGTTAAAATTTCCATAAGTTCTGGAAATATTTCTGCTGTGCTTATTAAAACGCCCGTCATTGTGCGTTGTTTAAGAGTAAGGCGGTGAATGCAGCTAGACAAATGAATTTTGAATTGTTTCGTCTTTCATGTCAGCCTGCGGTGAAATTGTGATTTAGATCCAACTAATGTAATTTTCGAACCATCCAGAATAGTTCCAATGTTGTCATTTTAAATGACCGTAACAAAATATTGTTGTAAACCAGACAGTTTAACTTGTACATGGAATCGTGTATTAATTATTTGATACCCCTGGTGAATATTGACGTCGGATTATGTTCAAAACTGACGAGTTTGCAGTGACCCTTGGTTTCGTCATTTGTGTTGTTCGTTTGTAAACAATTCTTTTGTTTTGTACTGGTACTTAACAAAGAATGAAAATACGGGAAGGCTTGAAGGCGGTTTTTAAATTTTCCTTTATTAAAAAACTAAAGGAAACAACTGAAGCTTTTTTTTTACATGGGTCCAACTGTGTAACTCATGCCGAGTTTAGCTGGTGAGCACCAAGCAACTTTTTCCCGCGCTTTGACGTGTCACGAAAATTATATCAATATACCTTCGGAAGGTTCATTACAGAGAATAATACCCCTATTTGAGGAACACCCTTCACAGTGAAAACGTTACTCCTTATCACCATCGGCAGAAAGATAATTTAAAAGTAAATAAACTCTTTTCGATGGCATTTGTTTACATCACGTTAATCCGTTAGCACCTTACAGAGCTATCGCCCTTTCATACCAGGCAAACGTCAATTCTTTTTAAACCACGTTTTTGTGGTGAGTAGATTATTTTCGTTATACTATTGTTTTTGTAAATCACCACCGAGATTAATTACAGTATTAGTTACAACTGCTCACTAAACATTAAATTCGGTAACAGAAATTACAATTGTAGAAGAAAAACCTACCATGTTTTTCACTTACACAGTTAGCCTATTTTACTTTTTTTCATTAACATTACGTTTCAGACCTTCATTTTTACTTTCCATTGGTATGACTGTGTTCTTTGTGCAATTCATTTGTACTTTACATTGAGTACATGCATTTAAGCCATTCATTTTTTTATTGCAAAAAAGAGCGGAATCTTCTAACAGTGATTCAGATCGCAAAATGTGATTAAGAAGAGAGGGAATGAAACTCTAAATTTGCAAATCGTGTCAAATAAATATTAGTGGCCTTCCTGTTCTGACTTCAAACCCCTCTTTTTGACTTAAAGAAAACGTTTTCATGAGAGAACTGTTAAAACGAGCTTAATCGAATGGCTACGCCACTTAGTTTCGTCTACCGAGTAAAATAAAAGCTGTAATTATATTGATATGAAAAACATGACTCGATTGCCTTTCTAACCCTTATGATTTCATTTAAAACCCAAACAAATGCAGTGATAGTGGTATTTTATTTTCTAACAAAATCGAAGTTGTGGAAAAAATGGGTTGAAGTATTAGTTCGGCTAAACAGAAAACAAAGAAGCTAGATTTATCTGATAAAGAATTAAAAATTATGGTTTATGATGAAGTAATTTAGAACAGATTTCCAACGACACGGTTTTATTTTTGCAAAGTACAAACTGAAACCTTTAGGAAAATTTAAAGGAATGATCGAATTTGTTTTTGTGCAGTGAACTTTCAAAATTTTAGTTTTCCAAACCAAGAAAAAAAAATTGAACAGTAAACAGCTTAATGAGCATCTTGTCTAAAGAAAGAAGGTTATACTTAGAAGGAGGAAATGGAGTACGACCAAAGACGTTTTTTTTTATTAGGATATTCGCGAAAAAGGAATCTCGTCGAACCTAAATTCGTGTTTCGAATGTGTCAAGTCGTGAACATTGCAGCTGTTAAGTAAGCTTAAGAAGTGAGGTTGTACAGCAAGGCTGAGACCTCTGTCCAAAGAACTTTCTTACCTCTCGCTAAATGAAGGAGACCTCACTTTTTGTCTCACTAAGAGTTTTAGACATCGCAAGAGTTTTATCCTTTCTTTCCTCTGTGTTTTTACTGTTACGCCGTCAAAAATAAAACTGAATGCAAACCAGTCAATACAGAAAGTCCAGAATCTGGAAAATGAAAGAAAATAAATATACAAAAAGCCTCGCCAAGAGTCAGGTCTGTGCGAGATATTCGGAAAAACGTCTTACCCAAATTTGTAAAGGTTTGGAAACGCCATGTTGGTGTCCCTTTGCGAGGCACAAATATGGCCGCCGGAAACCAACAGAAACATCCTTTCCTCCTTATGCGTGAATTCATCAGTTGAGGAACTCATAAAGGTTTAAGTAATATTTTCTCTAACACAAGGAATGTTTAGATAGCAAAATCTCCAAAAATCAGTGACGTTTTAAATCCACATAAGAGCTTTCCAGGCTGCGAGCTAAATGCCGTGTCACGTAAAAGCCTGGAAATTCAAACGTCTTCTATCGCAAAACGAAGAATCTTGTGGAACAGAAAATTTGCGTGATCATAGGTTTTTAGGTGCTGTAATACCTCATGAAGGTAGAAACTCAGAAGACTCGATAGTTCAGTTCTTAGTTTGAATTTTAGTTACGTCATGTGAAAACCCCTAATAGGAATGAACAAAGCCTTAAGACGAGCGACACCTTTGTAAAGAGTACTGCACCACTGTAGGGTGGGTGGGTGTTAGCAATTTTAGCGGGGCGTTTAACACTTCGAACCTTGGAAGTTTCGGCTCAAGCCTTATCATAACTTTGCTTTCTAAAACAAGTTGCCTTGTTTTGTGTCTTCACCTCGTTTAGCTCAATGTGTTATGGGTTAGAAAGGCTCTTTTAATAAAGGCCAGAGTGGATTCTATACAAGACTTTCAATCACTACATTGTTGTCTGTTTTGTATCCACAGACTTTTCCTGGGAACAGAGACAGCTATTCCATTCAACGAAACGAGGTTGCATTACCCGTTGTTGCAAATTCAATCATGATCATGGAAATGTCACGACATAATAACTTTGCTATGCGGATGGAATTATACGGCTGCGAGCCAGGTTAGTCATATTTTTTTTAATCGTCGGTCTAGGGATTTTGTCTTGATAAGGATTTGGCTGGGGTTGCATAACATACTAATATAGGGAATATATCAAGTGCAGATGTCCGGAGTTTGCCACTCTAATGTGACCGAGTGTGGCAGTTAACGATCAACATGTGCTCGGTCGAACAGAAACATAACAAAAAAAAAATCGCCCTAGGGTTGAGTTTGCTTTTTCCAGTTTCACAATTTTGTGATTGAATAGATTATTCAACTTTTGCTATGGGTTTCAGGGATCACTTAAAAGAGAAAAACTGAAGATCTCCTTATAGTAAATCGCCGGTTTTTACAGTTCATGCTGATTTTTTTGCCCCGCTAATCCTCTGGATTAGTAGCGGGTAAGAAAAATGCGGTTTGTACGAAAACCTGTTATTATTTACTCAGGCAATGAATTTTACCACAGGGCGTCCAGTTTCAAACAGATTCCTCGAAATCATGATATAACGATTGTGTGGGAATTTATAATGAGTTCGATAAAACAGTAAAAGTGTAAAAAATAAACAGCCGTTATAGTGTACTAATCTCTTAAAGAGATGTCTTTGCCCTCGTTTACAAAATAGCCGAGGTTTAAACCGACAACCTGTGGTTTTCCCGCCACTTCTTTGGAAACAATTTAGAGGTTTCCCCTGGATACCCTCGTGAATATCGTTTTGTATGAGTTGATTTTTCCCTTGTCCATCCCCGTCGATGTTGATTTTGATCAGGCGGGGTGGCTACTAAGCCAAGAGCGATTTCGAAGGAAGGCCCAAGGACGAATTTCAGAATTTCTTTTCTTCAGTTTGTTATATTTCTCGTTTTCTTGAGGCCATGGCACAATATATGGAACTGATTGACGTTTTTTTAGAGAGGAAAACCTTCAGTTTACGCTCAGGCGAAAATTTTTGAGCGATTGGAGCCGCCCGAAGACAGTTCAAAGCTGAAGCGTCTCTTGCATTCTTCTTAGTAGAGAAAAAAAAAAACCCAGATCTTCAAAACTTACTAAAACGGTATTGATAAGGTAGGAAACAGTAAGAAATATCACGAAGATATATCTTTTAATAGGCATTTTTAGTGTAAATTTTGATGGCCTTTTACCTTGATTGGTGTTTTATCTATCAAGCTCACGATGAATTCTCATACTCATGATGTGGCTTTGGGGTTTCTGTTATGAGCGTGGGTACCCTGTGGAAGCGGAAACAAAAGGAGGACAAGTTCATTGAAACGGAAAAATAGGCAAAGACATTGGTTCCTTCTGTTCCTTCTGAGGCAGCAGTTACGTACAACAAAAGGAACAATACAGCTAAGCAATAAAGCCACTAGGAGAGCTCTATTGTTTGGTTCCTTTGTTTCTTTTGCGAAGACCCTGCTGCAGCAAATTTAATCGTACTTTGGACAAACTTGTTTGAATTTGTTTGGTAAGACTTCTGCATAACCCCTTCATTAACTATACATACACCCAAGGTTCAGAGAAAACAAAAGTCAGAACAATATTAAGCCTTTGGATTTCAGCTGTTTTTGTTTTAATAAGTTTTATTTAAACCAGTGGGCCTGAAAATCGTCTTACACTTTTAACGTCAAAACTTTCTTCACTTTGTTTACTTACGCTGTGGCTAGTGATATATCTGCTGCTCGTGGTATGAAGTGCCTTTTTATAGTGATGTCTTGTTTTGCTTGACAGGTTATTATTTTGTTGTTTGGCTGATGATGACGGATTACATTTTTAAAACCGATTACCTGGATAGAGAAACAGCTGACTACCAGCTTTTGACAAAATACGTGGTGTATGAGGTGAATTGAATTGTTTATTTGTTTTATTCACTTCTTGGTTTGATTTGAACGTCATGATTGAGCATATTAACAATATGAAATCTCTCCAGTTTTGCTTTGACCATGACTTCCCCTTGCTGTTGCAATGTCAGTAACTTTCAGTCTATTCTTGGCTAGACTGACACGAATGATCATATATGGCTACTTGGTTCAGATCTTTTTGAGAGATGTTTTTTTTTTACCTCACAAAAAGGAAAGAAAGGGTAGAAATTGAGACCTTGTTATAATTGCAAAATTAATGCTTGCATTTAGTCCTGTCTGGAGTCTATTCGTTCCGGTAGTAAAACAGAATCTAGCAAAACAGAACAATAACGTTCGAAATGATTAAAACGTTATGCTGATTATGTATGAATATATCTTTATTTTTATTATTTTAGACTAAAGCTGCTCTGAAAAGTTCTCCCGGATTTCTTTCCGCAGAGCTAGTTCGGTTTACGTAAGTGTCTACACTGTATGTTAGCTTAGCTTTTCGTTGGTCTCACGACTGTCACTTTATTGGCCTGACTTTATAATTCGCTGACTGCTAGTACGCCTGGTTGTTGATTGGAAATCTGGGTCGGTGCTTGATGGTTGTTGGAGGAACCAGGTCCCTTGACCTCCCAGTTCGCGGGCCCTTTGTTCTCCAAGCACCCTGGAGACTTGTTTGGGTGGTTGCCGCTCATGGTTACCTTCACAATTGCTAGCGGCTCCCTCAGTTTACTCAGGCACCTTCCCCACACCCATCTATTGGTGATGGGTTTAATAGTACAAAAAAATTCATCTGCAAACAAACTTTCAGGGTTTATAATAAGTAACGAAGACCTTAAGAAAACATATTTCCGATTTCAACATCTGCATTTATTTATGAAGGCTGGCCTAAGACGTTCAGATTGATCATGAGGCATTATAGCCGCGGCTCCTTAAATTCTTTTTAGCAGCATATTTTAGAAGAACTCCGTTTAGACTGTGTTTTTTTTCCCTCTATACTTTATCTCTGGCGCACGAAATGTCTATATAGTGTTGTGACATAGCGCGCGTGCTTGCCCCGTATGAGTCCTATTGAGCCGCTATAAACTATGAACAAAATCTCTGTTTACGCACGCCCGTGCGTAAATAAAGATTTTTTTCATGATGACGTGTTCAGTCGTGTTTTTCGTCTCTTTTCCTAAGTACTAAGTACCCAAAAATCTACGGCAATGATGAAAACCTTTCTAGCATTTTTGGAAATTAGCTTCTAGCCACTCAAACCAACAGCAAAAGCTGTGAAGATGTTTCGCAAATAATAGAGACTGAGTCGTTGAAAAGTCTGTCGTAAAGAATAATCCAGCGGCTTAGCTAGCTAATAGTGCGATTTTGATACAAGCGCCAAACTTTGTAGGAATCTTTACATTCCCAGGCTTGTCATTTCCTGATATAGTGCCAACCTCAATTTTTCAATTCCAGCTAGTTAGCAACGAATGAAATTTTCGCGCCCGGGAGCCCCCGCGAAGTTATTTTTCTTGCTCTTTTTTAGATCGAAAGTGCCCATAACGAATTTTGTTTTCTTTTCTCATCCAAATCTACACATCAAGCAATGACGTTTCCGTTTATTTTGATTCCGACCAAAAGTGATTTTTTTAAGTCTTCGAAATTTGCCGCCATTTTGTTCCACCATTTGCATTAATCTCCTCTCGGTTGGACTGGAGCCGTGACGTAGGTTCAAGAACTCTTATTCCTCTCAAGCCAAGTGATTTGGTTGTGTCTTTCTCGATCATGGAAAATATACTGTGGAAAATGCCTGAGAGATGTGTTGCAGCACGTTGCAAAAGGTAGCTGACCCTAAGAAGAATATATCGATGCATAAGATTCCGTTCTTTGGCGAGGAATGCCGGATAAAGAGGAAAAGAAGAAAGGCATGGATCAATGTTGTGTTGGAGAGGAGAAAGATGTGGGTGCCGGGGAAGACGTTTTATTTCAAAATACCGGTACAACAATACAGATGTTTAAATTTGGATGCATAACATAACATAACATAAAACTTTATTTATACTCGAATTTTAGAGTAGCTAACAAGCTAATATCTTCGAGCTGACACTACATAAAAACTATATAGAAAATATATATATATACATTAAATGCAAGGAAAGAAAATATTATTTACAATTCACAATTTTAAGTTTAAGTATGTCAGGCAAAAAGAATCTACATGAAGGTAACATCCTGTATTTTAGTCTTAAAGGCTGCAAAAAAACTGGTACGAAAAAAGTCCGGCAGTGCATTCCACTGCTTAGCTGAAAAGTAAGAAAAGGAGTTAAGACCATAGGTAGTTTTTTTGGGTTTACTTAGTGAAAGAATGTAGTTGCCACGAAGATCATAGGAAGAGGACCGGAGTGAAAACATATTCTTCATATAAGTAGGAAAATGAGTGAAAAACAAACTCTTATATAACAGAATGAGGAAATTTTGAATGCGTTTGTTAAACAAAGAAGTAGAGCTCACTTTTGAGAGAAGAGTGTTGTATGGAGACGAGTAATCTCCAGGTATAAATCTAAGTATAAATCTAAGTATTCTTTTATGCGAATTTTCATTGTTAATCTCTCCTGCGAATTTTCATTGTTAATCTCTCCTCTTCATCGATATAAATGCAGGCCATATTTTGGAATTTATCTGCACATGCTTTTCCTCTCTTTTCTCTTGGTTGAGTTGGTTCGGATGGTAAAAGTTTGTGCTATCTCATTCAAAATATGCATGCAACTCGGCTTAGAAAAAAAAAAAAAAGAAAACTATTCTAGTCATATAAAAGAGAAAATCGTCGGTTATGTTTAAAAACAATGAAGTAAGATAAAGGTTAATTTGAAGACGAAGGAAACGGGTAGCTACCTCAAGCAGTTGACTGGTTTCAATGTGTTATTTGCCAGAGGGAAACAACTGAAAACCCTCAGTGTCCTGTTAACTGGAAACGGCACTAATCTTACTTGTGCTGGATATATTATTTTTGAACAAGACTTAACTTCATTTTATGAAATGAAAAAATGAAATTTACCAGTTGAACGCAGGGGATATGTTTTGACATGGAAATGGAATTCAGCTTCCACATTATCAAGACGTTTGCTATGTGGCAATACTCTCGCCACGATGCGTTCAACAGGACGAAACCGGATCGCATGATGAAAAGAAAAATTCCTGTAACTAATCCACAGCATCAAACGCACGCGGTCAAGAATGCGTCTGTTTGCACGGAGAAGAAGGAGACATTAAAATGATAGTCGTTGTAGCTAATGTAGTAGAAAATTTTCACTAGTCAATCATGATTCGAAATTCAGCCTTTTTTTCGCTCCGTTTTCCCCACTATCTTGGAGCCTGACCTAGGCTCATTTGTACTTGAAGGAATTTTGAGTGTCCTATGGGACAGGAAATATCATACCCACACTCTTTCCAAAAGCCTTTGGTCCATCTAACTCGACGTTTCTCCTTGTCTTCTATGCCGTAACAGTGTGTGATTAATACAGCTTCCTTCTCTGCTGGTTATAGAATTGCCATTAAAAGGAAGTAATTGTTATTATTAAAATAATGAAGAAACATAAGGGTCACTGTGCTTGTTTTTGCGGTAGAACTGCAGATAGTGCGCACCACCTGCATTTCTTGCGATTTTTGAGGGAGGATTGGGGCGAGTTTCAAAGCGGCATGTGCGTGAAAGGTGCAAGAAAGCATTGAAAAATTCGTTTTTATGGAATTTACATCGAGATAAAGCAATTAGGACACCATGTGATAAAGATGAAGCTTTAATGTCATGAAAGTAGTGATTCAGCACAACATCCATTATCGAAGGCCTCAGTTAGGAAGTTTAACTCAGCAACACGCGTACCGCTTAGTTAAGGCACATTTCCAACACTTTGACTCATCTGAGCTAGAAAAAAACTGCTATGGAAAAGTCCAATAACGGTTTCCTTCGATTGACGTCATTTTAATCATGTTTCTGCAGAAGCTCCATTTTCACGGCTGCCATCTTGTTATGTGCAGTGGGGGTGCACATTTGGTCCGTAATAAAAATGTGAAATCTATTAGGTAACAAAGCTATGTGCAAAGATATTAGTTGTATCACATATAATAATCAAACAAACTGAAGGCACATTAATTTTATTCAGTCGTTGTAGTTTAAGTTTTCTTTTGCTTACGTTGTCATGGCAACGCACAGTTAAGGTTAAATGGCGTGTTATAAACAACATGTACGTGGTAAGAAGGTTGGATGACTGAGTGAAATGATACTATGTCTTGAAAAACTAGGACAAATAATTTAATGAATTTAATTCATTAAATTTTTATCAATTTTAATAAATTGTGGTTTCTATGGAAAGAGAGGTAATTCCGACTTGGCACTAGTATATCTGAAGATGCTTGTATTGGTGACTACTATCAGTGTGCCAAATTTCATGCTTGTATCTAAAAGAGCACAGCTCACTTAAAATTTCTAGCTAAGCCGCCTGACTTAGAAGGACATTCAGCTGGAAAAAGACCTCAAATTGGTCCTTGTCGGGAAATATCCAATTTGTGTAAAGTCAGTGTCCTCCGTTTTTAACTTTTGTTTATCCTTTACAAAATAAGTTAAATGGCGAAAAATTATGCGCTTTTACTATCGCCTAACAATCCGACTGTAACAGGAAACTTTCTCTTGCAATAACAAGACAAATTACACAAGAAGACATTAATCTATTACTCACAAAAACATCTGCTGCCAGGTCTTCTCAAGAAGCCGTAATGACCAGCCATTGTTCGTAAGTGAATATAAAGTAGGATGACAGTCGTCTTCGCTGAAAAACAAAGTTTTCTGGATTTCGCCAAGCAAAACATAAACATCTTTTCGGCGAATCCAAACCATACTCCACGACTTCTTATAAACATGTGAGTATTTCAACATTAGGTGGACTTTAAGACTCTTTTGACTTTGTTTCTGCTTAGTTTCCATTGATCGTTTTAAATAAGCAAATTTTCTTTCTCAGTTTTACCGTAAGAATTTTCTTTCAAAGTAGACGATTGTGGCGCGTTTGTAACCGGCTTATAGAAGCGTTTGTTTTTCTGTGTCGGGCGTTGCGAGAATTTTGCAGTTAATCAAAGAGCAAGCATTTTTGTCAGCTATGTTATAATAGAATTTGCTCATGCTTTTACCTGTGCGTATATCGAGTTATGGATGCACTTGGGAAGTTTGGAGAGCACTCAAGAGGCTAGAGTTGCTCTCGGCTGCGCCTCGAGAAACTCTTTAGGAACATTCGTACTCTCCAAACTTCCCCCGATATCCATAACTCGATACACGCACGCTAAGCATGAACAAATTCCTAACTTAAATACAGCCATATGCAACAGCGTTCTTATTATACAGTAAGTGGTATCATGGCGGCAGTAATGAAGCGTAAGTCTTGGACTGCAGGAGGAAAGATCTCAGCTGTTATCGTGTAACATGCGGATGGGCTGGAGTTTTTTTGAAGTAGAAAAACAGAAAAAAAAAAAGAAAAAAAAGAGAACAACAGCTTTAAGTGGCACTGAATGCCAAGGGATATGAACCTTGGGCCATAGAATAAATTGAAGGCTATGGCCCATTGGGCCTAAGTCGAATGTTTTGCAGAATGGTGTTTATTTACTTGACTCGCCATCCATTATGTAATACATTTCTATCCTAAAAAATCGTCCCTTCTTATCAAGCTTGCTACTGATCTTGATTATCTTAGAATATATGGCAATTTAACGTGGTAATATGGGCTTCTGGTTTGACCGTGAAAGAAAAATGAAAACAAATAATTATTGGTAGCCGAGAGAGCTAGAGTAAAGCTGTTACTATATTAAAATATATCACTTATTTCACTTCCTTTCTTTCAGTCCTCAGACCAAAGGAGCGGAAATAAAACTGACGGCAGAACTTAAGATTGAATGCATAGAGGCTGGTGTACATGACATCACAGCTGCCCTCACAAGATACCTAGCAAGTACAGTAGGCCTGTTTGAACAACAGTACGTTAAACTGCAATATGCCCGTAAGTATGACGCTTTGGGTGTACTTTTCAGTTTTTAGCAAGCTGTTGCTGTTCCCAGGAATTCGAGGTCCCCTTGGATTCAAGGCGGTTTCTTCGGTTAACTTCGTAACGAACATTTTTGTTAGTAATGCCATATAGGGTGACTGGATCCGTGGATGAACTCGTGAAGTAGACGCCACTGAACACTGAGTGATGTTCTCTGGTGCTATTCATCACGCTGCAAAAAAAAAATGTATACAACTTTTGAGGAATCTTATGTGGTGTGACCATTCAAATGAAGGTTACTAACACTAATGTTGTACTGTTTATGATCCTGTTGATTCCATTAAAAGTGTAACCATTCCAATGAAAGCAGCTAATAAGCAGTACGTTTTTATCGTGCTGTACGCGTTTGCATCAAGTTTTGAGGCTGTGAATAAAATCCTAAATTTAAAATCATATTCAGTGAAAGCTTCTGAGAGTGCAAAGAATGAAAGGTTTTTTTCCTCATCGTATCTATAATATCATCGCAAATTTCGGCTCTCTGAATAAAATCTGATTGCCCCTGGCATGGGAAAGATAATTGAGATTTAAGCTGCCGGCAGTAATCCCAAATAAAGTTTTCTGTTTTTCGTTAACAGTTGATTATAGTTGCCGTCCCCCCAAAGTACACGTCCTCCTAGACAAGTCGCACATCAATGCTACAAAGATAACAACGGTTGATATGTTTTTCGTTATCGGAGAGTTTGCCCTTCGTTGCAATACTTCCACTTCCTTTCGGCTCTCCTGGGACAGCTATGAAGTCGATGGTAAAAGTGGAGCTTTCAAATTGAGCCCGTCCCTGCAAATCGTGGGCGCTCGGAAACTTACTATTCGACCAAAAAGTTTGCGTGCGGGGTTGTATTTTATACGACTGGTCGCCGAAATGACGAAAGAGGAGGGCGCTTTGGGCTACGATTACGGTTTTCTTCAAGTGGTGTATCCTGATCTTGTTGCTAAGATACGTGGTGTGGACATGGTGGTAAAGGGTACCAGCGATGTTGTGTTAGATGCAACAGATTCCTACGACCCGGACGATCCCGCATCGCGGGACCAAGGCATTACGTTTACTTGGTTGTGTCGAAGAGAAGACGAAGATTTCTCGAACCTGGAGTCACTCCCTATCGATACTTCCCATGGGAGGGAAAAAGTCCTTGGAGGGTGTTTTGGATATGGCGTCGGGAAGATGAACACAACGGAACCTTTTCTAAAGATCAGTGTAAATAAGATGGTCTCACAGTATAGCTACGTATTTGAACTTATTGTTGAGAAACAAAAACGAAGTTCCACTGCAAGTCATATACTGCGGGTAGAGTCTTCTATTGCATTTTCTATCAGGTAAATAGTTTTTCTTTGACTATCACTAATACTCATGAAATTTGCATCAGTTAGTTAAAATTGGTATTCAGAAAGAAATTTCATTCGATTAATTGAACGTCAGTCAACTATTCACATTTTCACCACTAAACGATTTTTTAGCGAACTTTTTTGTGTTTTAGAGCAAGGACACAAAATCTGATTGCATTCTCAATTTTAAACTTGCATGGTTGCTTTTTTCCCCGGATCTTAAAACCAGCCTTTTAATCTACTTTAAGTTATATACTTTGCAATACTGAAACATTCTAGACCTTCTATACTGTCAACCATGTTGGTTAAAACAGTGAAAAAAACGTCGACAGGTGTGCGTCGTACAAGACGTCAGTCATGCGTCTCTTCGTTCACAGATCATTGGTAACGACCAACTAAATTTCGCGTGGACTTCAGCATTTTTAATATACTTTCAATTTGACTCAGTTATTCATGGAGGCTCAGTCTATGCCTCGCGTAACGGTAAATGGCAGATGTCAGATATGAGACCACGTGACTCTTTTCCCGCTCTTTTTCAGTAATGCTCGTCGTTTGTCGCTGGCCGGTTACAAAGTCAAGATGAGTTTTCTTATTTATGTAAAACGTAAAGAGAAAGAACTTAACTTTTTTAACGGATGCAATCGCTTGAGGATCTCTCCTGTTTGCCGTTACGCTCTTTCTGAATAGCTTTTGATGTTTACTCTTAACAGATGTAAAAGAAACTGCGGCTCCAAGGTGACCGCAAATAAGCGCATGATAATTGAGTCTGAATGCAAGGGCGTGTCGTGCCAAGCGATCCAAAAATACAACTGGACGCTTTTCAAGTTCCATGTCTTTGCCGAGAACGAAACGTGGGTGCAAGAAACAGACTTGGAGAACAGGATCCTTACAGAACCGGATAGCTCGAGTCTGGTGTTTAAAGGTAGTTTTCCAAAATATAGCACTAATGGAACTTAAATTGATCACTTTGGCAGAAGTCTCTCAATAGCCCTCAGTGCTGTATCTTTTTACTAGGAATCTTACTGTTTAAAGTATTTTGGCTGACAGAAAATAACATTCTGTAGGACACTTCTGGGCCCCTACTAAAATGAGATAAAGCTAGTGGCCCTCAGCAGAAAATATATTTTAGTCACAGAAATATTTTTGGCGTAGTTTTTTGAAGTTGTAAACCTTCTATTATCACCAAGGGCTGCTTTGTGGTCACCCTAACCTTGAATTTTTACAGAGTTTTTTTTAGCATATTTGATAATATCCACAGAATAACGTTTCTTTCGAATTTCGTTTTAAGGTGCGCGCAAACGGACGTAGCAACTCTCAAACGTTTTTGCAGCGATGTGCAAACGAATGCAACAACTCCCTACAATGTTGGGTTCTGGAGTGCATCGTGGGAAGGATACAACCCATAAGACTTTGGAGACCATGGATGACCATGTGCAGGGCCACGTGTATTGCGCGCGCGCGTGGCCCCAGGAATGTTGGAAGAGCGGCGCAAATGGATCCAACATTGTTGCGCTACGTTTCGGTGATCACAGAACAAAAGAAATGTTGGGAGTCGTTGGCTCAACAGTTTGACCGGTTTCAAACTTTGCACAACAACTCCAAACAACACGCAACAACTTGCAACAGGATGCGCCAACGGACGCAACATGCAGCATTCAACAATGTTGCATCCGTTTGCACCGGTCTTTACCTCCCCGCTAGCTAAGCGATATAATCCCTATAATCCCTTATAGGAAAGCTCAACGATTGGGAGAATTCATTGGCGGATAACACCAAGTACAGACTGAGAGCATCTGTGCACCTTGATGATGACACAGTTGAGGAGAGTGAGATCTTCTTTAAGACTAATTCTCCGCCAGTGTATAATAATTCTGACGAAATGGCCGGCTGCTCAGTGACCCCTGAAATTGGACACGCGGTTACAACGGAGTTTACTATTTCCTGCCGGGGATTCAAGGATGAAGATATGCCACTAAGCTATGAGTTTAGGTATGTTTGCAGAGAATTGCACGTTCATTTTGAGTTGCTGGTCAGAAAAGCGTAAAAGAGATGTATTCTTCTAGATTAGATACAAATAAAAAAATGTGATTTTTTTGTGCTGTTTACTGAATTTAAGCGACTTCCTGAAACGCAAAGTAATAACATAAAAATTACGGCCTTTATTCTGGGGCACCCAACGACAGTGTTCTGTAAAATACCTGTTCGCAGAAGCTAAAATTTTCTATTCCTTGGCAAAGTTCTTCTTCCCTACGGTTTTCTGAAGTTTAATATTTCGCATTTCACTCCCCAGATTAAGGTATTTTCCGAAGAAAAAGGAAACCTAAAATTTTCGGATTCGTAAATGCGATAGAAATAGGAATCAGAAAAAAATTCTCACTTTCGTGAAACTTCAAGTTGCATCCAAAATTTTCCGGAAAATAATATTGAGGCCATGGTAATTTCGAAAAGACCACAAGTTGCACTAAGATCACGAACAAATATACATTTTGTAGCGCCGATTTGAATTTATTTCCAAAGATCTAAAAGTACTCTCTGGATAGACTAAAAAGAGTTTTCAATGCATTTAGGAGGAAACCGTCGTTGGGTGCCCCTTTCAAATCTTTTTTGTTAGCAACTGATCATGACATCTTGCAAATCTTAACTGTACCACGGGTACCTAAGCAGGCTTAAAAAGACCCAACATTTGTTAACCTCGTTTTTCATTTTTCTCCTTTTGGATCTGTAGCTATCACACGAACACGGGTGCTGTTGTCATACAGAAAGGCAGTTCAAGCAGCACTACTACCAGGCTTCCTCTTGGTGATCTGCTTGATTACGTCATTGCCCTGGAAATTCAGATCATCGACTCACTAGGGGCTGCTTGTATGGACGTCCTTTTAGTTAACGTAGGTTTTATTCTAGCATAAAATAAATAAAATAATTAATTATTAGACCAATACATTATTGACAGTGGAAAGAAATTTCAACTCCTGATATAGCTTTGCTTTAAACCAATGCCGCAGCTACATCAGTCTGTTTATTCTATAACTACCAACGAAATACTAGGAGAGTTTTTACGGGAAAACACGATATCTTAATCTTCACGCGTGAATAGATCAGCGTTGCTATGATTACATGATCAATCGCGCCTTTCGTAACCAGAAAAATATAACTGAAATAGTTGGTATTTCATTGGTGTTGATATAATAAATAGAAAATTACATGGCCGCTTGCATGGGAACACTCGAGTTAAAAAATTTTGCAACACTCGAAGATAAATTTCTTAACTCTGCGCGTCCATGTAATATTCTATTCAAATTTGAGTTTCATGCTGTGATGGAACAGGACAGTGAAAAGATTGTCAAGCATATCCCATCAAACAAAGCGCCCGGGCATGATAGAGTATCTGCTAGAGTGCTTAAAGACAGTCTACCAGCCACGCTACCTGTCATTACTAATCTGATTAATTCTTCGTTCGCATCGAAATGCTTTGCGCAGGCGTGGAAGTCTGCAGTGGTCATCCCAAACCTCAAGTCCGGCGATCCTGATGAGCCCGAAAACACCCGCCCTATATCCCCTCTACCTGTAATGTCAAAGGTATGCGAGAGGGCTGCTCACACGTAGTTTATGGACTTTTTGGATAAACATAGCGAGATATCCGGCTTACAGGGTGGAAAAAGAAAGTTCCACATCACTGAAACCGCCTTACTTCACTACACGGACCAGCTCCTTGTGCTGCTCGACATGTCTAAAGCTTTCGACAGCATCCAACATGACAACTTATTATCAAAACTGCACGTACTGGTTGTGTCGGCCTCCACGCTATCCTGGTTCAAGAGTCATCTATCATTACACAAGCAAGTGGTCAGGATTGGCAGTGACCTATCAGCACTAGAAATATGTCACAGTTAAATCTACCTAAATGCAGCCTGCATTTAGGTAGATTGTCAACTGGTCAACGTTCTTTCGCCTTTCTTGGGGCAAAAGAATACAACCTACTCCCAGAAAACATTCGGAACTTAAACAATATGTCAAGTTTTAAAAGGAGAGACGCCGCTCATTTTCTTGGAAACTCTTCTTAAATAGATTGAATCACATTTTTCATGACTGTATATAACAGTCGTGTAAATATTTCTTGTTGTAACAGATGTAAACATTTTTGCCCATTGTAATTTTATTATTGTATATTTTGTTATTATTGTACATTACGACATAATAGCCCCGTATAGAGGAGTCGTAATAAAGTGTATGTTATGTCTTTCTCTTCTTATTCGGGTTCAACCTTTCCGTAGGTTGAACCAATGCCCGCTGAAGATGTCACTGACACATTGATTAGTATGACAAGTGGGGAGAAAAGCCCCCTTGGTAATCTGATTCAGTCTGGTGACGTAGACAAGGCGGCTCAGATGGCATACGCAGTACTGTCCATGGTAGATAAGAGCGAGGGAGAGATGAACAGCAAAGACAAAATATCGGTAAGCTAACTTATTTGATAAATTTCTAGACTTTTTGCCTCCTTAACAGTGTCTCTAAGGAGACACTGTTCTTTTGTTTTATTTTATCATGTGCAAACTACAAAGGAATCCTCATTCCAAAACGATGCTTAACAACAGCATAAAAGAATAGAAAGTAACATGAGAAAGGTCTATTCTTAACCGTTTATTCATGACCAGACGTGTATAAAAACTAAAAACAAAGGATAAGTAAACCATGACTTAATATAATATTAAGAAATTATAGGATCGCTCACATGGCATGAGAAGGTTAAAAGTCCCGGGCCAAAGTAATTCTTTTTTAGTTAAAGAGTACCTTTGGTTAAGGCTCTTGAGTTTTTTTTTTTTTTAAGATACCTTGTAAGATAAGTGAAGGTTTGGACTATTTTTAGTTTATTAGTTGTCAATTCTGATAGAAAGTAAAGAAAAAATAGCTGTGCCAAAGAATGAGGCTTGACCACAACTACAAAGTCAAATAACTAAAAAAAGGCAGGGATATTTTAATAATGTCTTTTCTATTATTCATTCAAAGTATTTCTCCTTTTCTGTCATATTTGAAAAAATGTGGGCAGTATACATTCATTGACGTCAAGCACTCTAACGTCAATGATTGCCTCTTGACTAATATACAATTTATGCACACCAATTTGCAAGTCTACGAGGAGCTAACGATGCCTTAAGAACTTGAGGAACGACCGTAACTACCCGAGGCTCAAGGTTCGCTCATTCCCTCCCCCTCTCCTTCAGTTATTTATTTTACGAGTATTTAAAGCTATTAGAAAGGCAATAAAACAATTTAATTTTTATCATCACGTTGTTGGGCATTGTGGCGCATTTTGCGGGTTGAAATGGAGAATTTGGCGGGTGAAAATGCATTTTAGCCCGCTGAAATAAACCAATGAAAAGAGAAGATCAAACAGTCATACGATATATGCAACCAATCAAAATCGAGAAGCCATGATTGTAATATTCGCGTTGCCCTTATGCTAGTCTGCTACACAGTCTTCTTTTGGCGCAACGCTCTGTGGGAAGGAGCGTTGCGTGACGACACTAAAAACGGCTGTGTAGCAGACCACCTTTACACTGCCATTTTCAAAGATCAAATCATGGCTGAAAACACAGAAAACAACAAACAATTTGAGCTAGAGGAAGAAGATCTAAAAATGATTAGAAAAACCTCTGATGTAAACACCCATAGGAGCTCCATAGTGGGCGACGAAGTGCATGTAGATTTTGTAGCTTCAAGCCATTAACGCACTCAGTTGAACCAATTATGCCAAAATGTTAGTTTAACATTTGTGCAAATGTGCATTTAATTTTAACTCTTACAAATGAGCTTTCTTGTCTATTGTAATTTTTACAAACTTAAATGGCACGATACTGTGTAATTTCTAGCCAGTTTCGGGTAAAAATAAAAGGCATTCAACATGTAAATACTAACGTGATTTGATTCAGAATGCCTTGTTTTCATCTTATAAACTCGGCTTTATTTTCTCATTGCCCTCCAAAGTGATAATAATAGTTGTGGAGTTTATGTTGTTGGGCATAAATATATATGTTTTTGGCCCTAATCTCAGAGCTCATTTTAACACTCGCCTAGCGGCTCGGGCTAAAATGAGTTTGAGTCAGGCTTGAAATATATTTATGCCCCCAAACATAAACTCTATGGGACGGTTATTTAAACGGAGTTTAACCAGTGTTTAACCGCTTTGTAAGTCACTTTCAGTTTGCCTAGCGCTTTCATCTAAACACCATTTGTCATTAAGAGTTTCATTAAAGCATATAGTATAGACTAGAACAGCATTTATCTTCTTGAATTTAACCCACTAAGGAGGAGATCTGAAAATCCAAAGGTTTCTTAAACCGCGTTCTAAGACTTCGTTTAAATAATCGACCCTTTATCTTTATTACCGTTAAACAAATAAAACGATTACTACTGAATTTCGGCTTTCATTTGAGGTGGAGAATTATGCAGATTTCGGAGGTTTTCATCCACCTCAGCTTTCGGCGTCGATGGATAACACACTTCTTGATCAACATAATTCTCCATATCATGCTCAGCCTTATTCAATAATTGATAAATATAGAAGGTATGAAGCTAAGTAACCATACAATTTAAACGTTAAATTGTTCTAACCACATTTTAAAGATTACAGGTAACGTAAAGAAGCTAAACTAACATTATATTTAATCCATCCTCTGTGTGCACGACGGTAACCAGCACGCTCACTTTTTTCAGACAGTATATTTAACCATAGTCATCCTACGTGTGCTTAATCCGCATCATATAAAAGTCGGTAGCTTTACCACAACTTGCTCTATTATTCGTTGTTCATGATGAAAAGCTTGCAATTGCAAAGACATTCCTTTTTCTTCTGTCTCATTTTGTTTGTCTTTCTCAACAAGTTTGCCGGTTCTTTGCTTAAAGGTTTTTCCCCGAGAGGTTTTTCAAGTTCTCGAGCTTGCTTTTTCTCGGTCATTCAGCGATGAGTTTCATTTGTCAAGCTTTATCTGTTTCTGCTGTTGTCAGAAGGGCCTATCCGTTTTTTTTTCTCTCACCAATAATTATAACTGTCAGCATGTCTTCATCATAATAACAAAATTAAGATAAATTTGGTTTCGTCGACAACTGTTGCCATTTTCGCAGAATTGTGCACCTATTGCGCGGCAGTGAGTTTGCATCAAGATTGTAAAATTAAGTGAACCAACCGAACGGGATTTAAGATTGACTGCTGCCGACTAGACATCGATGTATCCCCAAGTAAGCCCTTGTGTTTTGTTCTGCTTTGAAGTGTTGTGGTTGTCATGCAAGAAAATCTCAGAAGCGTTACTTGCTGACTCAGCCTCAGTCGCCCTATCTTCTTGCCTCAAGAATCTGGATAAGTTGAATTAAAAGTGAGATCTAGAGCGAAACCGTAGTCGGGCAGGAGAAACAACAACAAACAAACAAACACAAAAAACAGGAGCGACAACAACTGGCGCACTCTTAGAAGGCACGATAATGATTCCTCGCTGAAGACGTACGTTCCGATTCAGCTATAACTGCACTAGTTAATATTCATGTAAAATCAACTTTAACTTGACTTTATTGGCATATTTGCATGATAAACCATAAGCGGACACGATCAAGTCACTACTCGGCACTGTGAGCACTATCACGATTGTTAACGTCACCGTATTCACGACTAATTATCGACCATTTTATACAAATCTACATGCTTTTAACTCACAGATTGCAGTGGTAAGAAAGATCTTACGCTCAAAGTTTAATGTCACCAAGACAACGGTCCGTAATGTAAGTACGCATCACCACACATGCGCCACTTTAAAATAATTGTCATTTTTGTTTAGTTTTCTTCACGTTAGTTTTTTCTCTTTCATTTATTTTCGTATTACATGTCATATTGTGTTGGTAACTGTGATGTGATGCCAAGATACCTGTAACAGTTAAGGGAAAAGTAGTCGGTCTTTTGTACTGTGTTTTGGGTAGGAATTTTTTTGTATGTGTTTAACGTAAATATTCATTTGTCAGTAATTCATTTTCATTCAAACTGCCGTTTTTGTTTACTTCCTTTCTCGCTGTTCAGACACTAAAGTTAAATCATATCAAGAACAACAACATCAACAACCACAACAACAACAACAACAACAACAACGCTAGGAATAAGTGACAAGCCCTGGCTTCATAATACAAACAACTGCAAGACTCTTACTTGAAAAAAGTGTTCATGAAATCACTTGCCTGTAATTTTATTTAAGCTCAAAGACTGCTTGACAATTATTATCTATATCAACGAAAATAACAGACTAACCACGCATGCGGACCTCGAATGGATTTTTAATAAAATAAAGCGAATAAAAAGTATAGAGAAAAACATTACAATTTGATTTTATTGAGAATTAATAACATTTTTTAAACGATGCTAAACTGTTTCTTAATTTTTCTGTAGTATTCACTGACACCTAAGGAATCGAAATTTTTGAAAAATTCCTTAAACCTCGTCATTTGTTCTTGCGAGGAAGGCATTAATTTAAACAATATCTCTCACACACCCTAACTTGTTTACAGATGGCTCTTCGAGAAGGTTTTTTAGGTGCTAATAGTTTGAAGGAAGGTATGTGCCGCATCCTTTTTTGCGCAAGAACAAGCCTGGTAAAGTTGTCCTGGCCGGCCAGGTGATATTCAGTTGAAGTGATTTATTAACAATTGTTTGCTGAAGGGTTAGTTAATATTGTTAAATATTCGTCTCGGGAATTATTCAACAATATTAACTGAGCCTAAGGTGAATAATTGTTTTAGTATATTCACACGAAGTGATCTCGACAGAGTCAGAAAGGAAACCATTTAAAAAACCCATTATATTAGGTCGATTGACGGGTGCATGAACTCATGCGTGAACACATGAAACCGTAAACAGCAGATGCGCAAAAGTTAGATCTTTATAGTATCTTCCAACATGGCAAATCATAGTTTTAATCTTTTTTAAAACTGTAGCGTCAATGGTTTTAAAGAAAACGTCGAAAGTTGAAATTACTATCCCTTCTAAGAAGAAACGTAGAGCTTTATTTGTTTCTGTCAACTCACCGTGAACGAGAGAGTTTTTTTGTCGCTTCTTCAACGCTATCAACAGCGTCTACGATCGACGTGAGCGTTGTTTATATATCTGCAGTGTTCTTTGCCTTGTTAACTTGCTGGCACGTACAATTTTGGAAAATATTTGCCTTCCTCTTTTCTCCATATTAACTTCTATTTAAAGGCAAAATTGGTCCTGCGAGGAAATCCCGAGTTCACAAAACAGTGACAAAGCGGCCTCGTTTTCCTCTGTAGTGGTAAACATTTCTCCGAGAGTACAAAAAGTCAGCTACAGTAAGTCACTTCACAATAAATCACGCTGTTTTAACACCATGAAGTCTTTTCTTACCTTCAAAATCATCAACACTAAGGTATTCTTGTATTTTCAAAAAGTTCTTACTCTGAAACTTTGGCAAAACACCCAGTTCACGACAGTGATTCTGTTCTGCTTTATACACCGAATGCAAATATGGCGGACCTCTCGGCCGGCCCGGGTCTAGTTGCGCGAAAGTGAGGCTAGTGAGGCCTCAACAGTTTTGTTTTGACTGCGCATCTTAGCGATTGAGTCGATCGATATGGTTTGCTTCGAGTTGTTGCATGCCTGAGGGCCACCAAAGTGAAGATTTTACTCCACCCGGAATAGCCTTTACTTTCCCAAGATCTTTTCACAAAGAAAGTTAAGGATTCATGCGATTCGGCGCGGCGATGGGAAGCACTTAACAGCGAAAGTGTGCTCGCTTCACTTGCTTTAGATGAGAGGACTCACGAAAGTATTTGAATGAAATAATTTTCACAAGAGATGGTGCTGTTCCAAGATGTTTGCATGGTCTGTTATTTATCCAACAAAAGGTAAACATTCTCGAGAATGGGAGCATCCGCTGTGGACTGTAAGATCTTTTAGATTTCACGCTGAAAACAGCTGCATTAAAATATAACAACAACAATAACAATCGCCTGTTAATCCTACAAGCATGGTCTGTGAAACTATGTAAGAACCAGAAGAAAGCGACATATTTCAAGAAGAGTCCTTGACCAAAGTGCACTGAAAAAAACTAACAGAGGAACCGTTGCCAGCTAAGAAAGTAAGAAGAAGGAAAAAGGTTCTGGCAGAGAAAGAGCGTGCAAGTATTCGAGCATTGTATTTGATCTTGCGCATGATCTATTTTAGCAACTTGTCGAATGGTTTCGAGATAAACTAACAGCGATTTTCCAAAAATTGCTTTTTTTATGGCACTGCTCAAACTCTTGAACACAGGATCGTGAAGACTGTGAAAACATTCGGCCTTGTTGTCTGTCGTTGTGTCCCTGAGAGCGCCTAAAGACTAATAAGTTGCAACGGCAGATTCACTCGTTCTCGAAGATATTTACCTTTCCTTGGTAAGAGAACGGACAAAGCAAACTTGAAACAGAACCATGAATCTTTCAGTTATTCACCCATTCTAATAGTTTCGTGAGTCTTCTCTTCTGAAATAAAGCGAACACACTTTCGTTCTGTTAACTCCGTGATAGTAAAGTGCCTCCTTTCGCCGCGCCGAATCACTTGAATCCATTTCTTTCTTCGTAAAGAACCTTGGCAAAGCAAAGATAATCAACTGTCATCTCTGCTGGAGTTAAATCTCCTCTTTGATGGCTCTTATGCACGTAACAACTCGAAGGAAACTATATTGATCGACTGAATCGCTGAGACGCGCAGTCAAAACAAAACTCTCGAGGGCTCACTAGCCTCGCTTTCGCGCAACTAGACCCGGGCCGACCGAGAGATCCGCCATATTTGCATTCGCTGTATGTTCACCACCTAACGAGGTGAATAGAACGTCATAGTCCGAGATCGCAAATCAATCAGATTGCTTGAATCACTAAGATCACTGAGTGTGTATATACTAATCACGGATAAAAATGCTGCTCTTATGACGTTAAGGTTATCGCTGGGTTTACTTTCAGCTGAAAGACTCCATTATCAACCAGATGGCCGCCGTCAAGGTGACCAGCCTTGAACAAGTCACACAGATGGCAGCAGTAGTCGCCATAGCAACAGAGCAGAAGGATGAAATTTCTCAAAGTTCACAGGTATCTGAATCCTCCAAAATGGCCTACTCAAGTGTTACAGTGGCCCTTTTTTTACTAGTGGTGACTGAAGAAATTGATGACACCTTTCTATCCGTCGGTTAGTTCAAAAGGATAGTCAAAAACGAACAAATAAACAAAAACAAGTGACCTGTAACAAAGGAGTCTGACGTGCTTCGTAGCAAGGGCACTTGCATGGGAATTTAAGGGTTACGTTTTCAAGAACCAACATTTGTGTCCTACAATTTTGCAGGAGAACGCGGTCAATCTTCTAGAAGACACGGCGGACTTTGTTTCATCCCAGCTAAACTCAGGCACTACCGATCCAGGTGTTTTGCAAGACGTAGGTGCCAGCCTCCTTCATGGCATTTCAAACGTTATAAGTGCAACGTCGAGTAAAGCTGAAAAGGGAAAGGATGATGAGGAAACGGATGAGGAAAAGCAGCCTGGGAATGAGGAAGGTGAACAGCAACTGGAAAAGGAGAAGGAAAAGACGAAAGCTGAAAAAGAAAAGGTATCTATTTACTTATTTGAAGCACTCCCATGAGGAAAAATGGACCAAAAAAATTTTGGATCAAAATTTGGGCATAGCAATACAACTCTACTATAAAATTGCGTCGTTATATAAAAAAGTTAGTGAAAAAGGTAAAAGTTTTAAAAAAAAGCTACCACACAGCCAGTTGAATGCAAACTATTTTATTCTATAAAACGGTTTTATTACCTTGTGTCTTTAGAGTAAAAAGATGGCGGAGAAAACGTTAAAGCTGATGGACAAGGTTGGCTCCAGCCTTTTGGGTACGAAGGCTGTTGGTGAAAAGCCCAGCGTGTTTTCAACTAAATCCCTAAGTATGACGTTGGACAGACAGGTTCCATCAAAGATTGGCAACAAAAAGCTGAGTGACGGACAGGGGGACGGGGGCGTTGAGTTACCTTCAGCTGCTACTCTGTTTGGAGACAAGGCTAGCCATCTTCCTTCGGTTGATTCACAGGTACTGAACATGCAATATTAGACCGCAAGTAGACGACTCGTAATGAAATTTTAAATTATTATTTTTACTAATGTGAACTTCAGTTTTTTATGCGTTTTGAGTCGCCTTGGCCTAGTGGTTCGTACTATGTCGGTGGTAGTTTGAAGCCTTGTTGCCACTGTCTTTGTAATTTGGGTAGTTGAGAAACTATGGCCCTTGCTGCTTCTCAGTCTCCTTTTAAATACATCAGGGGGTTTGGCACTACAATACTATCATCAACTAGCATGCAATCCAGTGGGCTGGTAGCTGCTTCTCAAAAAAATTTTCGATTTTTCTAGATGCTGGCGTTTAAGGACAATCCCTACACATGGGACGCAACTTCCAAAAGCATTAAGTCCTCAGTAATCGATTTTTCGTTAAAAGCCGCGGATGGAGAAACATTGGAAGTGTCTGGACTTTCAAAACCAGTGGAACTTTTTATACCTCAGAAGAAAAGACGTGAAGATAAGGGCAACAGTACCAACACTACCAAACCAGTGTACTTTGCAAAGCCAAGCGATGGTGAAAATAACTTGAGGTAAACGAAGGAAATGTGTTTTTCCACGTTTTAGATTATTACTTGTTTAATTTAAATAAGGGATTGGAAACCTGTGTTCTAAATTGCATCTATCTAACCAGTGGTTTGCCCTGAAATTTCATACAACCTCCTGTTCGATTTCGGGGACTAGACTATTTAAAGTTTAAACACTAGTTGATGATTGGGGAGCCAAATGTTGATCTCAAAAGCCTATGCTCAGTAGCATAAACATAGTGGGGCCACTTAAAATCGCCTCAGCCCAAACTCTAACACCGACTATAAACGTATTTGAAAAGGACATTTCTTCTCTTTAATCAGGTACCACCAAGTTGTAATCCCATCGAAGAGTTTGTCAGTGTTCATTGAAATCAAACCAGAGGAGGGTAAATCCCTTGAAGTGTACGTAAGCTACAAAAAGCGTCAAACAGTCGAACATTACAGTTTCAGTGCCATCATCCCAGATATTAAATACTGCAAAGATAATGGGACTGGACTAAACTGTAGTGAGGAGGCTTACGTATTTGTAATAAGCAGCGCAGTCACAGGCCACATTGGTGTCCACTATATCGCGATAAGATACCCTGAGCTGGAAACAGAATCTGCTAGTACCGGATTCTCAGAGATGGAAGTTGACGAAGTCGATCTTCGGGTTAGAAGGGACTGTGGAAGTCACGGAGGCAGGCAGAAACGTTCTTGCATTGGCGTTAAAGATCCCCCAACGACCCCTCCCCCCACTCCTAGGATTGTTATTCCACAGTATGACAATAGCACAGACGTGAACTACACTTTGTCTGTGACGGCGGCAAATTGTTTATACTGGTCAGAAAACAGGCAGGCATGGACAGGTGATGGATGTACGGTATGTATATATGTGTGAAAGTAGAGGAAACTATTCTTGCTAGCTGCAGTCCCGTGGTGTTAGTTGAGACTCGTTTTTCAGTAAATTTTCGTATATTTCTAGACCTCGTCTCTTTGTGTTGTAACTATATATATTTTCATACATGATGTAAAACTTTCTTAAGGCCCCATTGAAAATATTTACCCCTTTTTACCTCATGACTATTATTTTTTTATATAAAGTTTATATAAAGCTTGCATAAGGATTTTGAGAAGAAGGAAGGGTGTTTGAAAGTGACGGACAAAATGACTGTCCTTGATGGTGACTAAACCCTATTCATAGATGAATGGCTTAAGTTGTTATCATTCACAACAGGTTGGTCCAAAGACGGTACCCGACAACCTCCACTGTCTATGCACTCATTTGTCCGCGTTTGGTGGGGATTTTTTTGTTGCTCCAAACCCCATCGATTTTGACAAGGTTTGGGCTGAGTTTGGTAACCTGGCAGAGTCCGGAAACTTTGTCGTTCTCGCCACTGTTTGTTCCATATTTGGACTCTATTTTGTTGGGTTGGTTTTCGCTAGAAAAGCTGACAGAAAGGACGAAATGAAGGTACGTTTGATCTTATTTTCCCTATGTACCAACCGCTGGAGAAAAAATGGATTTGCACAAATTTGTTCTTAGCAAATACTTGTATATCGCAAAAATGCAAAAAGTGAGGAGTACATCCGGGGCAAACAGGGTAATGGCACATTTGCCGTACCTATGTACACCCCGTATAAAATGGTATGCAAATGTGGCATTAATCATCTTTGCCCCAGACTTACTCCTTAGTTTTTGTATCTTAACGACATATTTGCCATGTGCAAATTTGTGCAAATCTGTTTTTTTCGTCCAGTGAACCTTTTTGGTGATCAAGGCAAAGCTGTTAGATAACAGTCCAGTATAAAGTAATACTTTTCTGCAAGATGTGAAAGACAGCCAATTTTGATGAGTGTAATCCTGTCACCAGTGTCATACTAAAGAAAACGTTATTCACCAGCGATTGTTATTCTTGAATTTGTTCTCCTTATCACTTCCTAAATATTAGTTTTTGAAAAGAAGGTCAAGGAACGTATAAAAATCTAAGCAGAAGATGGGTTAATTCTAGTGACTTTTCAAAAAAATTGGATCGCAATTAACCTTTATCTTATTTCTAGGTTGTGGCTAACGTTTATCTGGCGGATAACACGGAAGGAGGCTACTTGTATGAAATTTCCGTTCAAACTGGAATGTGGAAGGGTTATGGGACGACAGCAAACATAGGACTGATCATCTATGGAGAGCAAGGCGTGACCCCAGCTTTACCCTTATCAGATCCAGAACTTAACAAAATTTTCTTTGCTCGTGGAAGCATTAACAACTTTACTTTATCTTTACCGGAGTCGTTGGGTAACCTAGTAAAGATTAAAATCTGGCACGACAACAGTGGGAAGAGTCCTGCGTGGTTTTTCTCACAGGTTAAAATTATTGATTCTCAGACTGGAGACAAATGGCATTTCCTGGGGAACCGATGGCTTGCACTGGATAAAGGTACTGGGCAGATAGAAGTGGAACTAAAAGCTGCCGATAAAAGAGAACTCTCAGGATTCAAAAACCTATTTTATTCCAGAACCTCGCGGAGCTTGGGTGATGGTCATTTGTGGTTATCGGTCTTTACCAGGCCTCCGCATAACACATTCACCCGTTGTCAGCGCTTAACTTGTTGTTTGTCAATTTTATTTGCCACTTTGATAACAAATGCAATGTTTTATCAATTTAATAACCCCCCAGAAGACACGTTCCAGTTAGGACCAATCAAGTTAAGCTGGATACAAATCAAAATTGGCATTCAGAGTAGTCTTATTGCTATTCCTGTAAATGTCCTGGTAGTAACTATCTTTAAGAACATCAAGTACCCTCTCCCTGCGGATGCAATTGGGGCAAACCAAAAAACACCTGGATGTTTGCCTCATTTTTTCGTGTACGTCGGCTGGATGCTTTGTATCTTGACTTCCCTGGCATCTGCTGCGTTCACAGTGTTCTACAGCATGATGTGGGGGGCTGAGACTTCAAACCAATGGCTCACATCTATCATGGTGTCATTCTTCCAAGATGTTGTTATCACACAACCTATAAAAGTGGTTCTTATTGCGTCACTGTTGTCTCTCATTATCAGAAAGCCTCCTGAGCAGGACTTGGTTCTCGGCTCGTCGATGAAAAGTGGCGGGAAAGGTAGCCAAGTAGAACCACCTGCCGGAGAGGCGCTCAAAAAAGCCCGCGAATTTCAAACGAAGGTCTTGGAAATGTTTAGAACTATTGTTGAAATGACTTTCTTCTTTGTGTTTATTGCTCTTCTCATGGTGGTGTGCTATGGAAATAGAAAACCTACCAGGTTTCAGCTGACTGCCGGCTTGGAGAACATGTTTAGTGGCTTTGAAAAGGTAAAGAGTACTGTTATACCGCTAAAAAAACTAAGCCTTTTTAGCCACATCACGTTAGTATACCTCGATTTGAATTTCAAATGACTTGCAGTGATCATTAATTATGTCAACAGAGTGAACTCTGTCCACTGCTACAAAGTTATTATCATGCGCTATGGTTATCTTGTCAAGTGCAATCCAAGCGTAAATTAATTAGGAACTCTATACGTGGTCTGTTTTTTCTTCACTATCGTAAGGATTCTCTGTTTTCTTTCTCCATAAGGTAAACAGTCCACCGGCCTTCTGGACATGGACGAGGAATGTCCTCATTCCAGGCCTCTATCACACACAGTGGTACAACGGCGATCGTTTCGAATACGAGGAGGGTTTCCTTAGCAACAGAGAAACCTTTATGGTAGGAATGCCTCGGCTCCGACAAGCTCGTATCAGACCTGGTGAGTTCCATGCCAGTCACTTTATTACTTACATTTAAGTTTCGTTCACACGGGAACGAACGAAGTTTCGACCGGCTGGGAATTTTACGGGAAACTATTTTCACACGGGACCATTCAATATTTTCGCTCTATTCACAAGGAGGTTTGAACGGCTAAGCATCTAAGTTTTTGTACCGTTTATATAAGGTGGTTCCGTGTAAACGGACCACCTAAACGCACGAATTTCAACTGCTCGAAAATTCGTCCGGTGCCGTGTGAAGGTATCCTAAGAAAAAACCTGGGCCCAGTTTTTCGAAGGCCGATTAGTGCTTAACCAAGGGTTAAATTTAACCCGAGTTTCTTTTCCTTTTGTTCAAAAGCATTTTCTCGGAGAGTTTTCTCTGTTATTTTTAAGAGCATCCAATCATCAACTTGTCAACAAAGAGAATTAAACTGAATTTACTTTTTAAGCTTTCATATCTGAATTCATATTTCGCATTAACCCTGGGTTATCTTAACCTAGCTTTGAACAACCCGGCCCTGTATATAGAGGATATTACATGGCCGCGCGGAGGTACGAAATTTCTCTTCGAGTGTTGAAAAATATTTTCAACACGACAAAAGAAATTTCGTATCTCCAAGCGGCCATGTAATGTTCTATTAAATATATAAACGCCAATGAAATACCAAACCATTTCACTCAAATGGTCTTTGGTGTGAAAGGCGCGATTTTTTATGTAGCCATAGCAAAGGTGATATTTTCACATGTGAAGATATCAAGTTTTTGCGCGAAAGCTCACCTGGTATTTCATTGGTGTTTATATAATAAATTAGGGTTCGTAGACAGTAAAGCATAATAAATAAAGATGTGAATTTACGATTGCACAAAAATGGTGAATAAAGTATCTTGCCGCGGACTATAGTAGCATATGATCGGATTTCAGTGAAGATCTACTTACTACTGTTAGACACAAGATGCCGTATTTACTCGAATAAACGCCACCCTCGAATAAGAGCCTCATTTGGGATAAAAAAGTTAATGAACGCCTCCCCCGAATAAATGCCGAGGCCCAGATACAGTCGAAGTCAAAAGACGTTAATTCTGTTAGGTTAATAACAATGTCGTCGTTGAATAAATTCTTTGTCGCGTCCAACTTTCAAATAAACGCCGCCCGTAAGTAAGCACCGCATTTGAGGCATGAAAATTTTAATAAGTGCCGCGGTTCTTCGACTAAATACGGTATTGGTGTTTTATAAGAATTTTTTTTTTGTGCAAGAAAATTACTTTTTTGCACACCAAATGTGGCAATCCTTACGATACGACAGTGGCAATCCTTACAATATGAAGCATGCGCTTTTCTCCTTTAAACTTTACTCGCATTTAACAGTTTCAGCACTACAATTAGTAAATGTCCAAGTCGAAAAATGCATAAATTTCCTTTCTACCTGCTGGCAAAAAGAAATATTGAACTTCAGTTTTATTAAAGACTGGCATAGGGAAGCTTCATTTTCTCACAGAATATTGCCGGTGGGAAAAGGAAAACTGTTAACACGGTTTCACCTCGAAGCTAGAAAAACAGCGGTTATGCATTTTACAGAGACTCCCAAGTTTAATCTTTGTTTTAATTGTTTCCTTAATAGACTGCTAAAGAGTGAGCAATGCACATTTACTGCTTTTTTGTTGTTGTTCATAGAGGAAAGATGTATCATGGAAGCCACAAATCCAGAATTGGCCCATAATTTCCAACGTTGTTTATCACTCTATAATGACGAAGTGGCTGACTTGACTCTTTACAACCAACCCGGTTGGATCCCTTTGGATAACACCAGCCAGTTACTGTCTGTGTTTGAACTGCAAGATATGTGTCCAAGGCCATGGCGGTACCGAACAGCGAAGAATTTAACCACACTCTCTTGGCAAGGATTACAAAGTGTTTATGGCGGCGGCGGGTTCATTGCGGACCTTGGCTACAACGCAAAGTCCGCTCTGGAAGTGTTGCGCAACTTGGAGAAAAACAACTGGATAAATGACATGACTGCTGCAGTGTTCGTTGAATTTACAATCCATCAACCAGCGACATCGCTATTTAGCGTCGTGAGGTACTTGTTTGAGCGCTTGTCTACGGGAGGGTACAATACCGTGACAAAAATTGCAACCTTGACGATATATGCTTCGCCAGATCCTGCCTTTAAATCTTTTTACCAGCTGTGCCAGCTCCTTCTGATGTTGGTTATTTTATTTTTCTTTTTTGCTGAAATTGGAAAAATTTATCGTCAAAAATGTTTTTATTTTGCTCAGTTTTGGAACTGGATGGAGCTGCTACAGATATTTGGAGCAGTGGCAGCGGTTGTAATGTTCTTTTTCAAAGAAATGTACACAAGTGAGTACATTAAGCGTATCCAGGCAAACCCGTTTGAGACTTCCAGCACTGATTATATTGTGTTATGGTCCGAACTCGAGATCTATTTGTTGGCTTTCGTCATTTTCATCGTCACAATGAAATTTCTCAGACTTATTCGCTTTAACCGTCACATCTGTCAAATGACTGCCACCATACAGAAATCTGTAGGTCATCTCTTGTCATTTTTTTGCGTATTCGTAGGAATTATTCTGGCATATACTCAAATGGGTGTTCTTGTGTTTGGACCAAGCGTATCAACTTACTCATCGTTCTTTCAATCCATGCGTTCGGTCTGTCAGATGATCTTGGGAGGCGAAACACACTTCCACGAGCTCAAACATGCCAGCAAAATTGTAGGACCTCTGTTTGTGTTTTGTTTCATGTTAAGCATGTCGATGATCATGTTGAATATGTTTCTTGCAATACTTAACGAATCGTACGAAGAGGTTAAAGACTTTGAGGGGCATGCTTTCGCAGATGCAGAACTCGGCGAGTTTATGAAAACATACTGTGAAACAAAGGTCGGGTACGTCAGTGACGACCTGGTCGCCTTTTTCAAGAAAATGGTTACCATGGCACGGGCTAAGAGGCCGAAAATGGGTCTGGTTGAAGGGTACGAGAAAGTACCAATTGAAGAATCCTACCAAGTGTTTGAAGAAAACGTTGATGACGGCATTGAGTTGTGTGGTGCTAAACCGCAGTTAGCCCTTATTGCTTCTATGGAAGACTTAACTGATAGCGAAGAAGACTTGGCTTCCAATTTGGACGATGTAAAGCAAAGCTTGTCCGAAATTGGAGCGGAATTGCGTCGTTCAATCTCAGTTCTTAACGAACCACCATCTCCGTGTGACACAAATCTCAATGACTTAAACAAAGAGGCGATATGTTCTTGTGAAGATTCAGTTCTGGATCCTCGTAGTTATGGCTATAATCGTTACTCTTTTTTCAGTAACATTTGGGAAAGGCAAGAGTTTCCCAATGACCGCTTTCGCACGAGAAAAAGAACTGCAAATATTGAGCCTCTAATCAGCGGTCCTTTAATCGAACGCATTGAGGAAATGAATGCCGAATTCAACGAGGAAAATATCATCCCTTACTTTCCGACAATCTGGGAAAGACAAGCAGAGCCTGATCATCTCACTGAGAAACAAAGGACTTCATCAAAGCCTTTTCCTCTCGTAGACAATAAGGCTGATTTGAGAAGTAGAGACGAGGAATGTACATTTGATAGAGTACGTCTTGAAGAACACTCAACTCCTGATTTGATGTCTACCAGCACGATAAACAGCACGGTGGTGGATGATCTCCCCGAAAGTTTTGTATAAATTCTGGTAGCGGCGGGTAGAAGCTATAACGACGCTCGCTGAAAAGACCGAGTAGCCTTTAACCTTAAAAATGTCAGAAAATACTTTAAGGCCAGTCTCAAAGTTACCTTGACTGCCGATAGAGATAACCTTGAAGTCATATATGGTAATTAAATTGTAAGGTGAAAAATATAGAGAGTTACTTAAATGATAAAAAAGGATAAAATACACTGGTATTTAGACTGCTTAATCTTTGTATCTTGTACTGTTAAAAAAGAATAATTTTAATTCATTATAATGGGTTAAGCTAGCATGATAGAATAAAAATAAATAAATCAAAGGTTTATTTCAGTTCAATGCTAAGACTAAATTGAAAACCAATATGCTGGACATGTTGGTATGTTAGACCCTGATTAATGCAAGAGGTCTACTGCAATAACAATTCACTTAATTAAGTTCATCATCGGCCTTTCATGAACTTTATAGCGACTAACAATTCTCACACCTTCAAGAAACAACGCAGAAGTTGGCGTTTTAAGTGTTGGAATGTTTTTGTCTTTGGCCGATTTATGCTAGAAAAGAGAACATATATTTATGCAACAAAGAGTTTAGGACTCTGTTAACTGCCCTTTACAAGTTTGTTACGAGTTAATATTGTGTTGAATGTTCGCAAGCGCTGAATGGAGGACTCTCTGATTCTAGAACCTGTATGATGTTAGAAAGTTAAAAAAAAAACATTACCCAATTTGACGCGCAAACGGTTGGAAACTATGCCCAGTTTTAAACGCGATGTAAGACCATTACCCTTCGCCGCCATAAACTGGCCCTGTGTAGCTTATTAAAGAGGATCGACGCTAAGAGATAACCTAATAAATTTCCCTGGGTTATAATTACATAGCTTATTCATATATGAACTGTATCCCGACAACGGATATTATTTAGTTCTTATTTTATATGAGAAAATGATTAAGTTAACGACCTATTCTTTCCGAGAAAAAGATTGTACCGTATATTTTAACCGCACTTTTCCGGTATTTGACCTGTTCAGCTTAGTTGTTTAGCTGGCGAAGTAAATTAAGTTACCTTTGGCAAGAGTGTAGCTAAATGTCGTGGATAGTGGGTAGTAGGTAGAGGTCGTTGGTGTGGGTCGTGGTTGTGGGTGTGGGTGTGGGTAAATGTCGTGCGTAAAAAAAAGTTCTCCAAAAAAATAAAAAAAATTAAAAAAAATTAAAAAGCAAAAAGTTGTGAAGTTCATAAAGGGAAAATCTCCGCGTACATGGCAGTCTTATTCTCCTTCCCCGCGGTCAGCAAAGCAAATAGGGAGTTTAAGATACTCCGACTACGGACTACGGCTACGGATAAACATGCTACTGCGCATGATCAAAACCATGTGACTGTTCATTTTTCCCGCGTAGTCCTGCGGCTACGGTGAGTTGTTAAGCTGTTTCGCGTAGTCGGGACTACGGAAAACATTTTCCTCGTATTTTGTCGTCTCGGTAATTCAAGAATCTCGTCTTTTCGTAAAAAAAGGTTCAATTTGCCTGCTTTAAGTGAGAGGGAAACGAAATATGTAAGTTGTGTCTAATTTCTGCTCAGATTTACGCTTTTAATCCACCGTTGTGACTACATTTTTATCTAGCTAAGCTCATATTTAAAGAAGCTTAACTGTTTATACGCAGAATTCCGATTGATGGCCGAGGAGAAGAGAAATCATGCAGGTAATTTACTTTCTCTTCACACTTGAAAAGTTTCAATGTTTGTTCGAACTGATTAGTGTGGCTTTCTACTTGTGTGACCTTTGTTTATGCGAGTTTTTGTATCACATTTGCTAAATGAAAATGATGTAAACATCTTCGAGACAATCGAAACTGGGCATTTCAATACTTCAAACTACATCAGATCAGTAGTCGAAGAAGTCCATCTTCTAAATCTAATAAATGAGCTATTACTATTTCTGTCTATTTCTTTAATATTTTACATAAGTATTCATGGGCGAAAAAAATAAAACCTGTGCAACCAAAACTTTGTTTACCAATTTCACCCGAGCTACGGTGATGGAACAAGGAGTAAAGTTGTAGGCGAATCAACTTGTACGCGAATCGACTTGTACGTAATTGCTTCCTTCAAGTATGGAAGAACTTGTTCATTGTTCTAAAGATAAGATCACATGCAAAACTGACTTGCATTTTTGTGAACTGTGGTGAAAACAAGAAAATTTTTGCGTGTTGTTTCCCTCTCCGCCTCTTCTCTCGTAGTCTGCCGTCTGTAGTGGAATCTTAACGTTCTTTATTTGCACGACTCAACCCAGTGCTATAAACAAACGACAACGCTCGTCCAGCCGTAGTTCGTAGTCCGCAGTCTCCGTATCTTAAACTCCCTAATAAGCGAATCCTTCAGTACAAACGGACACTAAAATAAAAGGAACTCTGTACACTATATAAACCTGAAGTAAGCTATAGTAAAACTGGAGACGGAACTGCTTTCTCTCAAAGAAGGCAACATTCGTAACGGAAGCGTTCCCTCAGTTTAAGAAATGATATTTAGAATCGTTACAGCAAAGATTTTGTACACAAAACCAAAAAAAAAAATCGAGAAAATTATATTTACGTACAGCAATAAATTTTACATACAGTCTCGCCTGAACTTGAAAGGTTGAGCGTGAAGGTGGCTCCTTCGTAAGCTAGTAGCTAGCCTAAAACTTCTTTAAGAAAGACTTCTATCGAAAAATGTGAAATACCTCAAAATTGTCCTTTTCACCTCCACTTTCCCACGGTGATCGCATTCCATCAGGTTAAAAAATCCCCGCTGATCATTTGAATTGCAGATCGAATAAAGATTAATAGTGAGCAGCTACTTCCATTCAGCGAGTCAGAGCTGTCCCATACTTTGTGCAAATTGTATGTATAATTTTCGTTTATTCCGCGGCGATAGCTCAGGTATGGATAAATCTTCATCGACAACATGTAATGGCCGTTATACAGTGATTGTGTGAAAGGGGAGCCAAGTCCCACGTGGCTAAGGAAATATCGAGAGGAGGACGAAGAGAAAGCCGTGACGAAAAGGGCAATCGAGGAGTTGGAGATTTTCGTTTCATAAATATTTTACAACTTTTTTCTATTTATTTCTTTTTTCGATTACTTTTACTTTATCTTTTTGTTTTTTCTATACTTTTTTTACCCACGACATTTATCCACAGCCACACCCACGACCTTTACCCACTACCTACGACCCACGACATTTAGCTAGTAACATTCCTTTGGCAATTGCTTGTTGTTTTCTGCATGCATTTTTGTCCCGTGAAAATCCGCCGAGGATTCGAATCGAGTAGCGTTTGCGTGGTTATGTACAACTCAGGGATCACGAACGCCCTGGCACGTGTACCCGATGGACAAGATAAGAAAAGTTTGGCATTGTTATCTGTTTTATTTTTCGGTCAGCCTCCTCTTTTTAAAAGAATTCATTACAATTAAAGGGTATTTTCGTGAACCGTTAATTGCTTGTTATATTCCTCGTGAAACGTGATTTTGGTAGTCGCCCAGAACCGTGATTTTTTATAATAATTGTCTGTGAAACGAGAATCTGGAGTTGAATTCACGGTAAACTGTGACAGTGAAGTGCCACAAGATGATGAAAGAAGAGGTGGATCTTCATCTGTAATTTCTGAAGCAGACCAGCTCTCTGAATACGATGACGACTCCTCTGATGACAATGATTAGAAGAAGGTGGTGCAGAGCCTCAACTTCTAAACAAAGAACTTGGTTTCCTTTTCACAACACCAAGAACAAGAAGCGGGAGAATGGTGAGGACATAGAACAAAGCAGTTCTTTGGCTGTAGTTCTTAACCAAAGTAAGAAAAACTGATCGTATAAAAACGTTTTTTTTTCTCGTGAAACGTGAAAAGCCGAATTTATTGTCCGTGAAAAATGAAACGGCCATTTTATTTTGCATGAAACGCGATCAATACCTCCCCCCCCACTTCCCTTACCACCCTCTATGATGATAGCAACAAACTGTACTAATAGCCCTTGTTCAAGAATGTCAAACCATGACTTTTTCTACCATGCTGACTTGTGCCCTATTCACATCAAATAAACATGTTCAATAAAAACTATTGAAGTTTTAAAAAATATTTTAAAAAAGGTGTAATGGAGAACTTCAACAAAGGCGTTTAAACAAAATGCAAATTAGCTGCAAAATGCAGCTTAGCCTGAGCGGAGCCATGCAAAGTAATATCGATTTATATTTTTACTGGAAATACGTGAATCGCGGGACCTCGCCAAGGACTTGGGGAGAACGGCAAGAAGTTGAAAGGGAAATCAGGCAGTAAGGAAGAAAATTTATAAATTTAAAAATCTTAAGTTAAATAAAGAAACGAAACAAAACTCCAATAACTAAAAAGAAGACTTACCGTAAAGGAAAAGAAAAAAAGGGAAGAGAAAAATGTTTTTTACCCGGAATCGAACTCGGGATCTTCTGCACCCTGGGCCTTTTCGTTACCAATACGCCACGTGAAACACATTGTGACAAAGTTGATAATATTTTATTAAAACCCTTTTCCCTTTCCGCCAGCGAGCCCTGAACAAAGTTGATCGAGCCCTATTAAACATGAATTCAGAGATACTTTTCAGAAGAATGACTGCTGTTTTGACAGTGGAAACCAAACGTAAACACAATTCATCGCATTTAAAGAACAGATGCCCAACTATAAACAGACACGGTATAAGCTCGTCTGATAATTAATTATCAAAATCGCTTCCATTTGCTCTTAAAGGTACTTTTGCATTCGAATTTCAGTTGCAAAAAGCACTTACCGACTCCTAAAACGGCCAGAAAAAACCAAGCACTTTGGTCATTGATATGATGGGGAATCGCTTTCAGTCGAATGGTGCCTAGAAACATAAAATACGCCGTGACGTCAAACTACTGTATGACGTCATGGCGGACACCATTGGATATACATGTATACAAGTAAAGATGAACGCTGCGCGTTTGCAGCTCGCTGGCATCCACGCGCGGTCCACGCAATGAGCGCGCTTTGCGTGCGACGAGATTATAAACACACTTCGCCCGGCGTTTTGCGAGGAACTAAAATTTAGTAAGGGTTTTATAAAATACTCTTATTTGCAAATACAATAAAAATACTATTATAATAGTATAAAAATACCACAGAAGTAGAATAGCAAAAGCACACATATATGAAAATACATCAAAAATAGGATGCAAAAATGCAAAAACAGTGTAAAAACAGTAAGAAAATAGCCTTAGAGTTGTCTGAAAACAGTACAACAAATAGGATGGAAATACCAGTAAGATAGAAATTCATGAAATAAAATGAAAGCAAACCGTCGAAATTTACCCTGAAATGGCAAGATTTACCTCAGCACAGTCCCAGGATTTCACAAGAATTATTTCTTAGCTGATTCCTTTACGCTGATGTTCCTAAGAATTCTCGGGAAATTCTTGTCTAACGAGGAGTTTTTCAGAAATGCTGAAATCTACATGCACGTAACTTACATTGTTAATCATTGACAATGTAAGTTACATGCATGTTATGTTCACGGCTTTACTCAAATAGGTCAAATATCATTAGAACCTCGCGGGCTAGGCCTGAACATTAATTACTGGCTGATAAAGAACTACACAAGAAAAACGTCAAATTTCTGCGAGAATGAAAGAGGCGACGTGACATTGAGTGTGAGATCTATACAAAACAGCGATCCTGAGCAAGGAACACTGTAAAAACTAAAATTGCAGTACGGTCGGAAGTATATAAATGTTTACTACCGTTCATTTGTTTCACATACGGTATGGTGTGTACTCAAACGTTACAGTAACATGTTATGCAAAAAGAGGGAACAATGTATATCACAATCACATATAAAGAGAAGACTCTTGGAAGACGTCACCTCCAGCCGCGTGCACCGCCGACAACCAGATCCTTTCCAACTGTTTCCAAATACATACAAGTCGCTGAGGAGTCATACCCATTTTTATGATAAAAGCAATATCTACGTGTTCAGACAATCCGCAGAGTTGAAGTATACTTTTGGAAGATCGTAACAAACAGTTAAATCAAGCGAAAGCCCTCATCGACCTCATCTCACAGCGATGCAACCGCCAAGCAAATAATCTGAGATAAGATAAAGCACGAAGGACGGTTTGTTTCTTATTACGTGCATTGGTCACTTCACCGCAGCGCGCGAAATCGTGATTTCAGTTGCGCGTGACATCTCAGATATACAAATGTAATGTGCCATGCATGTGCAGAATAATTTATGAGAGAAAGATAACCATACGTCAGAGTTTATTCAGATCTGAGCGTTGTTGCTTGATGCAACGTAAACGAGGTGAGACGTTATCTTGGAAAGTTTATTTACCATGTAATTTAGGGCTTATTTCAGATAAACCTGTGTTGACCGCATGCATCCGGTTCTCCCCGGCTATCAGCGGCTGTTTGTGAAAAATTTCTCACATAAAATTAAAATGCGATTTCTAGAAGTTTTTTTTTTTTTTAACTTATGCAATGTACCGTAACTGCATTAATTGAATCACAGTTAAAATCAACGCGGAGATTTGCGCAGAGAGCTTGCAGGTAATGAACATTAAGGATTGATCTTATTGCACAATGTTACAGTTACGTATTGCAGTTATTAGTAAGTCAGTCAATAAGCTCAAAATCTATACCTAATTTTCTTCTCTTTTTCGGTTTCTTTTTTATTTGCTGGGAGATTTAATCGTTCGCTCAAGTTACGAACTTTGTTGAGAGAAGCATCCGGTCCACAGCTTGTTTTGAGTCCTTTGAGAGTTCGCGACACGATGAATTAAAAATTAACTTTGTGTAATTGTTACTTTGTGTGTTACTAACACAACCGGCGTTACATCGAAGATCGGTGTTCAGTTTATAAGCCTCAGCGAAACATGAGTTCCCGATATATAAATCTGACTGGATTTATGAAAACATGGCTTCAGTGAGTGTCTAAGGGTCCTATGCAGAGGTAGCCTGAGATCATGCCCTCTCCCTATTATCCCTTTAAGTCTCTCACGGGAAGAGGGCATGATACATTTCTTTGTCGGATCACATGTAAAAAAGCCAGAATCTGGACTTTTTTCTGATTGGATAGGAAACAATACGGATGATTTGCGCTGTTCCAATTGGCCAAAATGCCGCCATCCGTTAGTTGTTGTTGATTTCAGTCTGCATTTTTGCTTACGTCATGAGCAGTGAATACACACGCGAGTTCGTTATAAAAATTTCTGCCGGCTCAGTTTTCTTGAATTTGAAGAATGCCTAAATAGAAATTTCACCCATTGAAATATTTTCCATCTCATCGTATACTAAAAAGTTGCAGTCAAAACTTCACCGATCATTTGAATGCAATTTGATTCCGGCCACAAGATACAGAAGCGACAAACGGGTTCACTTTTCAAATAATCAATTCATGAATGGAATCTTGACCTGGTTTGACTGTAATTCCTCCTTCAGAAACCTGCGAGTTATTCTCAGCGATCTTCGCTTTCACAACACCTTTCAGTTCGTAAAATATGGTGCTTCAGCCTAATTTTTTTTTCACTGCTTCGGCACAGAACGAAGTCAACGAGCTTTAACCCGTAGATTCTTTATTATTTGTAGCTCTTAAATAAAGGTACGGCAGCTCCAGCTAGCAGTATTTGAACACATTTAAAATTCTTTTTAGGAAGCGCCATCCGAACATGGACGTACTTAAAAATTTTCTTTTCCCTAAAATTGATTTTAAAAGAGACATTATTCGCGCCAAAATTTGATTCCCGTATGGTAAACGCTTATTGGCTAATAACATGACAGATCAAGGAGACGTTAGATTATGTAAATTAGGGGGCGGTTAACGGCTCGTTAAATGAATGTATCAGGCGTTATTTTTTCCCCCTCTCGAGCCAAAGAAACAAAGAAGCAAAAAAAAAAAAACGACTGATCTCAGGTTAATGCAGAGGAGGAGTGAACGTCTTCCCACAGTGCATTGCAATCGTATTATTCGCAAGATGGCAGAGTTTTCCTCCGCACGTGGTGTTTTTTCAGTATTTTTCAGAGCGATTTTTGGCGGGTTAGACTCTTAATTTAACGTAAGTAAAACTAAATATACATTCTTTGTCTTTTGATCGTTTCATAGGAGAAAGATTTACAGGAGTTTTTCCCCTGAAACGGGTATTTTTTTCGCATTTGAATTGTGATACCTCGATCTTTCCTCATTTACAGCCTTGGTATGGGAGAGTTGAAAAAACTGACCCCCACTCCGCGGACTACCCACTGACCCCACTCCGCGGACTACTCTACGGACTACTCCGCGGACTACTCTACGGACTAGTCCGCGGACTACCCTGCGGACTACCCTAACTAATCAACCAAATTTACTTTCACGGAGAAAAGATTTCACACTTGATAAACAGCCGCCATCTTGATTTTCGCCCTTTACTCGACCCAGCTCTCCTTTAAGTCTTCATCGGCCACAAGTCAGAGCACGCCGTTCAGCAATGGATGACCGGTAATTGTGTGTTTTTCATCCCTTTTAATTTGTTTCAATTGTTTGCCTTGCAAGGGTGACAGGCCGCACATCTATACCGGCGTGAAACCTTGTGTAAACCTTTTATATTCTAATCGCTACCCCGCTCAAACGAATATAAAACATTTATCATGTAACAAGCAACCTCAATGCGACCCTCTTTATTATGCCTTCATCAACAGAATGGATTTACAACAAACAGAATGAAAACTCGGAAATGTAAAAAATTACAGCAAGAAGAACAACCTACAAAATGATCTAAACTATGCTCGTATAACAATGATTCAGTAAACATACAAAACGTGCTAAACCTTTCATATGCAGCATGCAAAAAATAGTCTAAAAGAAACCCCTGGTCACTGGGTATTTAATTTTTAGGGACGGTCGTAAGACGCGAATGAATATAAATGAGAACAACTCGAATATATTAGCCTACCGCTAATGAAGCAACAGAACAGCATACCATGTAACACCCCAAAGAAAAGGTTACATAACCCATGATAAATACATTTATATTTTAGCTCTAACGAGCAAGGGATTTTCCTTTCTTGTAGGAAATGATAGGTGGTTCTTTAAAAATTTTAACGGTTGGGTTTGTATAAGATTCCAGTTTTTCATTAAAAAACTTTTTAAAGTAGACACTGAGGGCTGGTACTGTGTCACGAAAGGCAATATTTCTTTTTCCTCTTTGTTGTTTGTGTTTCAAGAGAGCAGACTCCCTCTCTGTGAACTTTATATCTGATAGAAGGTTTTCTATCATAGTTTGTGGGTAGCCTCTGTCAATCAAGCGTATTTTGAAATTTGAAATATTTTCCTCAAACGTAGTTTTTGAGGAGTTTGTTCGTAGGATTCTCAAGGCTTCTCCTTTGACAAATCCTTTTTTAACACTCGGCGGGTGACAAGAGGTGAAATGTGTGTACTGGAAGGTTTCCGTTTTTTTAAAATGTGTCTTTACATCAAGGATAGATTTTTCCTTGAATCTTGTGCCTTTGTATACAATCGTGTCTAAAAACACAGTCTCAGTGTCAGATATTTCGGCCGTGAATTTGATAGTTGGGTGATTTAAGTTCGCTTGTTCGATGAAGGCTTCGAAGGTTTTAAAAATTTTAAAAATTAAAAATTATCAAGTGTGATCTGGTAGGCAGGTACGCTTCTTGTAACTCTTTTCTCCGTGAAAGTAAATTTGGTTGATTAGTTGGGGTAGTCCGCAGGGTAGTCCGCGGACTAGTCCGTAGAGTAGTCCGCGGAGTAGTCCGTAGAGTAGTCCGCGGAGTGGGGTCAGTGGGTAGTCCGCGGAGTGGGGGTCAGTTTTTTCAACTCTCCCCCTTGGTATAGTTCTGAAAATTTGTTTGTAGTTTCTTTTCTAGTGGGATAATTTTGAAGTAAGTTCAATTTTAATGTAATTTAAAGGTTTATCTTCTTATTTTAAGCAAAGTGACCCAAAGTGACGCAGGAATTAGATCGTTTTGAAGGCAGAGAAATCGGTCAATTTTTGGCCTTTTCGTCGTATTGAATATCACGAAATGTGTCAATCCTGGTTAATCGAGAATGGCGCGGAGGGCGCAAAACTTCGGGCTCGACCAATATTTTTACTATATTTACATATTTGGTTTCCATACCAAATAGCCTTAAAGTTGCACTTTAAAATAGTTTAAAAACTTCAGTTTTTCTGTAAACCAAAATTTTCATTTTCTTCGGTATAGTATGGAGGAAGCTGAAGAAGGAAACAGACTTGTGAAAAGGGCACATGTTTCCACCGGTTCAACGCCGTCGAAGGAAAAGAAAAGAGCGAAGAGGTCACATTCGACGGCAATCAGAAAAACACTGTTTCAAAGAAGTGAATCATCGAATGGGCCAAGTCCAAACAGGAAGGTTAGTACATACTCCTGATACTAGCCCTTTTCCAGCCAGTTGCAATTTTGAATTCCACCTCACTACTAGATTTATAAGACCTCTATTTTTTGTTAGTGACATTCTTTCTCCTTCATCTTGAATATTCTACATTGGTTATTTAATAGGACGGATAGAAAAGATCAGAATTTTTTTTTTGAAATCTAGGTATCCAATCAGATCTCAAAGCCAAAACGTCATGTAGTCAGTCCTTTGCGAAAGTCACCTGTGAAAAAACACAAGTGGACTTTTCAAGAGGAGAGAGCACTAGTTGAGTTTGTTGGTCTGTCAAGAATGGACCCCAACTACAGTGACACATCAACAGAGTGGCCAGGTTTTAGAGAAAGCCATTCCTTTTGGGGTGAAGCAGCAAGACACATCCAGGAAAGCACCTCCGCCAACTTTCTTCTCTCAAGTATGTTTGAAATTGTCCTATCTACCACAACTATTATTATTATTGTTTGCAATTATTTATTATTATTGTTAGTCAATGAGTAACTTAAGCAAAGAGTGGTTGCATGGATCAAGTACATGTACATTTAAGAATGTGCGGGGTTGTTTGTAAAGGGATGCACTACCCCAGATCAACAACTCACAGCCATTGTATTTTACCTTTATTGTGATTACTGTGTAACTGAATCTTCACCGATATTGAACAAGCAAGAAAAAATAAGTGTGAAGAAAATTCCCAGACAGTTTCATTTTTTTGTAATTGAAATTATGCACATTTTTAGCTGTAGTGTGGTACATATGCTTAGGTAGTGTATTTTTGAATGTTTACTTTTCACAGACAACAGAGTTAGAGGACGAGTGTGTACGTATCTCAAAGGGAGGTTTAGATCTTTAGAGGCAGCTGAGGAAACATATAACTTAACACTCAGTGATGCCCTAGCTGAGTTAACAGTGGGTCATCCTAAACAAAGAATGCAGAATGCAAAGAATGCAGTGCAATTGCAACAGCAGTCAGCGACAAACCCACAGCAGAATCCACCAGCCGTTGCCTGCCAGTGCTCCTTGCTGTCTATCAAATTGTCCGAAATTTTGCAAGACCTTCCCTCCTTAGATGCCGTAAAACTGGAGAAAATTGCAGATGCCTCTTTCCTTGAGCTTGCATTGAGAGCTGGTATAGACACAAACCCAGGAAACTTTGCTTCATTATCAGTAAAAGCAATGAAGTTACTGCAGTCTCAAGGAAAGACTAATCTTGTGTACAGATTTCCTTATGTAATTGCCACAGCACATCCTGAATCTGACGAGTCTTTATTGCCTCTGAACCGAATGCCCTTTGGTTTGATTGAATATCAAATTGACTTCTTCTCGTCCACAAATATCAGTCAGGTTAGTTTCACAACGCCAGTTGTGTTAATCTGCATTACTGTAATCTTATGTATCTGAAAAAAATATATTGATTAACGAGATGAAATTCTCTTTGTGCAGGTTGGAAGCTTCTTTACAGCTTTATTTGTGATGACTTCAGTGGGGCTGTAAACTTGAATCTGTGTTTTTGGGATAAACAAAATGAGCATTATATAGCCCTTCCTATCATGATTTAGCATGTCAATTTTAATATCATCACAGGAAAAAAATAACGTCTCAGAATTTAATTGGGTTTGTATAGGTTTGCGAATTATTTTCTCTTTCACTGTCACATAATTTTTTTATTGTTTGTTTGTATTTTAGGTAAAGGTGCCCAACGATTTTGCCATGTGGCATGAGACTATGTGCTCAGAGTTTCCATCACGATTCAATCGTCTTTTCCGGGGTCCCATGTGGAGTGGCTTGCCAAAGCAGCAACATGGCTTTCCATTAACAGTTAGTATTACCACAGCTACCTTAAGACTAACCTCTGCTTTTTAATAGTTTGTTATGTTCTCATACCATTTGAACATTGCTCCATACATCTCCTGCTCCGCGTTTTTGGGTGCATTAAAAAACTTTTGCTTAAGATGAAAAAGAAAATGAAGTTTACTATTTATGGACTGTTTTTGAAACCTAACATCCTGACTAAAAACTCTTGGTAAAACTCTTCTTCTTGTTTGTGGCTCATTTTGCCCTCTTGTGATAAAATTGGATTGACTTTTGTTTGTGTAATTTACAGGCCAGACCCAATGTGGCAGCTCCAAGTACAAGAACTCTTCAAAAGCATACAGCTTCTTCATGTGACTTCACCGACAAACCAGAGCTTCAGGTACAGTTTTTGGCCCAATGATGTCATTGTAGGTACTCATAATGCCTCTTTTTTATAGATTGTTTTAATGATTTTGGTTCTTATTCAAGGTTGCAAGTAAAGGTACCTTAATTTGAGGAAACACTATTCAAATAATGGGACAACACATGGAATTCTCATGGTTACTTACGTTAGGACAGTTGAATGTAAATGTCTGCTTTATTTATGTTTCCACCCAATATTGAGTATTCTTATTTAACCCTATGAATCTCCCTAATTATGAATAAACACGAAATTTTTTTCAAAGTAGAGAAAAAAGGGTAACTTTCACGCTGACATTATTGTATTAATGATAGATACATGTACTTTTTCTACCTTAGCTTGAGGCATTGAAGCAATTGAAGGAATCTAATCCGACAGGCCGATTCTGGATCAAAGCTGATGCATTTGATCTAAAACCTGCTCTTCAGGAGTCTGTCAAGGGTGTATGGAATGGTGACGTGGACATGCTTGATGGAAAGCTGATGAAATTACGTGAGGAATATGACAGGCGACGTATTCTGTGTAAAGCAGAAAACCTCAGGAAAGAGAGAGTTTTCCTGGAGACAAGGCTGAGAGCACTGGTCACAGCAGTGGAGTCAGATATTACGTTTCTTACCCATGGACTTACTGCAGCTGAACAGGAATATGAAAAGAAGTTCAATGCTCCTAATACCTCTGAAAAGCTGCTGAAGACGTTGTGCTGGGAACGTGTTGAATTCAATACATTGTTACGACAAGCTCAGAGTTTTATCGGAAGGTGTGCAGAATGTTTTGATCACTAACTACATGTAATGAGCTTCAATAATTTATTTGTTACTTATAGTAGTATGTCCTATTGTTGTAGGTATGAGACAATGATCTCTTGTCTCGACCCCCATGCTCCACGAGTGGAAGATGTTCAGACAGCCCTGTGTAACATAGAAAAGGATTCCCTCACCTATCTAAGAAATCTGTTTGTAAAGAAACGCCAGCCGGGTGCTACTCATGTGTTGTTGTTTTTACTGAGTGATGAGAGAAGAAACAGGAAGCCCTATACCATGCCCATCCAGTATGTGCCATATAAAAGTATCAGGGATCAATTTGCGAGAGATCTGACAGTTAACATCAAGACAGAGATGATGCGGCTTGGTTTAAAGCCTGTTGGTAGGTATTTTTACGGAAATACTTCCTCTTCACAAGACTTGTATAACTCTATTTTTTTAAAATTAACCATTAAAAAAGGTGCACATTTCATGATATTTTGTTCTCACAAATGGCCATTTTCCTTTTCATTATGTAATCAAAGACATCTTTCTTTACTTAATCTAGGGGAATAATAATTGTAAATCAAACAGATGATGCCAAAAAAATGGAGCATTATGTCTTTGCATCCAGATTATTTACCAGTATTTATTTTTATTTTGTATAGGTACAGTAACAGATGGTGAGTTCAACAGTTTGAGGACTCAAGGATCTACAAGACCTCTTCATTTGTGGCAGCTCATACATGATGCCAAAGAGAGTGTCAGCCATCAGAGAGAGCAAGTCTTGAAGGCCATGCTGGTAAAAATTGGAGGTTGGTTAACAGACTGAATGCCACTACTGCCATCTAATCATCAATAGAAAGCCACTTATTACGAGTGGGGTCAAGGATGATTAGAGTAATCCTGTGGGAAGCTCTCTTTGTAGCGAGCAAGTGCTGATTTCTTTTCTTCCCAAAATTTCATTTTCCTCATTGAATTATTTAATTACTGGTATCAAACAAGCTACATATGTCATCAAACGAGAACTTCTCAAGGTACAAAAAAATGTTTGTGGGTACTTTTAAGATGTCACATAGTTTCTAGAGATTCAAAGCTGACAGTTTCAAGCTTTTTAACAGGTTTTAGTGTGAAACTCCCAAAACCGTGAACATCAGAAATATTTATGGAATTTTTTCGTGTTACGAGGAGAAAGCCATCTTAATCTGATTGTGATTGGTCACTACACAACATTTCTGAAGTTTTTCAAGTGTTCACAGTTTTCTGACTCTGACAGTAAACCTTGTTCTTCATTCCAGAACTACCAAATGGGACTCCTGTTGTAGAAAAAAAAGACCAAGCCATCCCTGGTGAAGTTATCCAGGAACTTCATCTTCTGCAGGCAAGAGATGGACTGAGCTTTGAAGATGCCATCAGTACAGTAAGAAGAAATTTAGTACCACCAGGACATGAGCCCTTCCCTTTCAGAACAAAAGTAAGAACAGAAAGTCTCCTGGATAAGTTGAGAACTATAGTAGCCACATTTCGTTACCGCAACAGAATTGCAGAGCTGAAGAAGGAGGGTGCAGATTTTAGTATGCATGTGTATGTCCCTGAGGTGGATCCGATTACAGGTGACTTCTACCACGAACGTGAAGATCATGTACTAAAACGTATTTGGAAGCACACAAGAGAAAAAGGTCCAGAGGGCTTTAATCTGGAGGGATTTGACAAAGCTGTGCTTGACCCCACAACTGGACTGACTCTTGCCGCACTGCGAGGTGAAAGGAAACAATCAGTACCGGATGCGGAACGCATGCTTTCATTTCTGGTGGCCAAATTTCTGCATGAAAATGGTTATGAAAGAGAAGGAAAGTATGTGGAGATAGTTGCAGGCTGGCATGAGGCAGCAGATGGTCGAGGTCTGACACAGTTGGAACGTTGCAAGAGAAACTATGCAATGCTGAACATGATCCTAGACGAGTGGATGCCCTGGCATGTAGAAATTTATGACTTCTCCACAATAGACATCAACAGGTATTCAATTAAAGTCAGGGATTAAAATGGGGAGGCCAAAAATTAAGCGTGATAGTAGGAAAAGGCTGACTACATTTCCCTAGGGCTTGGGTTCAAAGAGACCTTTGCGTCATACTTCCTGTATTTCGGATTAGGTCAAGTCTAAGGCCTCACTTTCCTTCTCACATTTTTTCCTGGATCTGCTACTCAAGGTACATAATTTGTAACTTATTGTATTTAGAAAAGCCTTTAACTTTTGGCTTTGTCTGTTGTTTATTTTTATAGGCCCGTCAAGGAGCTCTGCGGTTTCTCACGTGAGACAGTTATCGCAGTGACCTCCAATATTGAAAGCATGGAGTTTAGGAGATGCCAAAATGGTGAAGTTGGTTATGCAGAACACCCCAGGGCTGGTACAACTGATGATGTGGAGGCTATTATTGCCTTTTTTCATAGGATTACTGGAATCGTTTTCACTTTGAAACAGTTCAAAGCTACCTGGAGACAAGTCGTCAGGTTGGTTGTGTTAGCTTTATCTGCTAATTATTAATTATGATTAATTTTAATTCACTAATAATATTGAATTATGTTATTTTCCTCTACTTTAAATACGCAGAATTACATCATGAGGCCGTAGGGAATACATGATTGTACTAAAAGTGATTGCAGTGGGATTGACTTCTGTGCAGTTCTGATAAATTGATTTGTGGTCATGTACTTATTAATTGGTTGTTTTCCGGTGTTTATATTTTCTTAGAGAATTCAGCAAGCGTATGACACCTGACCTGCCTTTCTACTACTGGACTGTGAATGAGAGATAACGAGGTGATGATGATGACTTTGATTCATTTGATGTGGGGCCTAACATCCCAGATGATCAAGAGCCTTCATGTCATCCACTGCGTTTACATCGTTTAGGTATTAATCGAAGGGAGGATGCATCAATTCTCTGTGCCGGTCGTGCTTTTCTTCCTGCACGTAACCAAACAAGCATTCGCCAGCGTATACATCGTCCAGTAGCCCAGCTTCCAGAACCAAACGGAAGGGCTCCTTAAGTTACCATAGCCCATTAATTTCAAATAATCAAATATATTATGATATAAATTCATATCATCTTTCAATGGTATTAGGACTGGGAGTCCCAGGATTATTGAATGATTTTCCTTAACTTGTGATATAGTTATAAGAGAACAAAAGAAAACAAAGGCCCTTCGCAGAACTTGGTTGTGTGCCAGGCATTATTTCATGGGGGTCACTGAAAAATTATATTTAGTTTTTTAAAATACTACATATTAGTTTACTATCTATTGCTTGTGTTAATTATCATCAAAGTTATTAAACTCTCACAAGGAAAACATCTGGACTGCTGTCATTTTTTTTGTAGTCTTAGAGTGATTTTACTTGAACGGTGAAACAGTTAAAAACAACTAGTACAAAACAGTTACTCATAAACGGAAGTAGACAATAAATTATTGGCACATAATGGTGCATAGTATTCTACTAACCTATTTCTCGGGTCAAGTAAAATCACTCTAGGTTTTCAGAATAGTACCATTTAGAATTAAAAGACTTCTTGATTTTCCTGCTGAGCAAGTATCAGTTAACTTTCTCAAAGACTTCTGGGACCATTACTGGGGATAGGAATATTAAATCGGCCAATAGCTGATCATTGCTTCCCCACTAATGATCCCAGCAGTCTTTGCAACAGCTATTTTGGCCGAGTCCCCTTCTCGAGCCCTTCTTTTCAAGCCCTCTAGCTTTTCAACGAAATTACACAGTAACAATTAAAGATAGCGGGTATTTGTTTTATTAATTTTCTATGAACTCATACTTTGTTTTAACACAGAAATGTTGAGGATTCTCACAGCTTTAAATTTCAGACAATATTAGTGGTTCTGACACCTTGATAAAAAATACTGGATACAGTGCCCCTTATTTGATGCCATCAGGATCTCTCCAGAAAAAAACAAACATTCTTGGCCCAGAGCTGTGATTCTTTTGGCCAATTGAGAAATTAATGTCACATATCAAAAGCTCTCTCAAGAAATAAAAAAACTTTTTCCAGTAGTTACAAACAAGAAACTACTGTTCTATTGTATTACGCTGCAGCCAGCCAAAGCCTCCAATCAGTGGCGTGGGCAAAAAGCGTCAAAAACGAGAATGGCGGCTAAAAAATCAGACAACTCTAACACTTGTGTTAAAAGGTTAAGAAAATGAATTGCTGGTAAGAATTGAGAAATTAATGTCTCATATCAATAGGAGAATTATGTCTGTTGTTGGGGTCATCCTTTCCCCACTGTCCAAGTTTCAGTATGTTTACTCCTGCAGCAAATCTAAAGTCACAGACAGCTGGATACCAAATTCTTCGTAAATGTGACAGTTCCAGAGAAATAACTTGATGATGAAACAGTGCCCTCTTTAATTTGGGAATTTTTTTCACCCCACAATATCCTATGATAAACCAGTGTCCATTGAAAAGCACTTCAAATTTGAGTGCATTACAGTCAGAAATATTGTCAGGTTCATGTTCCACTCTCACTTCAACCTTCTGTCTTTTAGCCTGCATTTCAAAACACTTCTGCAGACCTTCCTGGTAACGGTCCTCCCAATTCGATCCTACCACTGGAAAATATTCAATGACCTCTTCTTCAACAGTTACTTACTTGATAATGTGAAACGTGACCTTGAGAGTCTGCTTGAACAGTGGTTCTCTTGCTTTTTTCTCTCGCGCGAAGGTTACTTGCAAGAGGTGTAGCATTCTAAACTTTGACTGAGTAAATCTCTGGGTCCTATGCTAAGTGCGTCCTTGGTACTAAGACTTTGACCCTCCCCACCCAGGACAATGGGTGACTGTCTGCACCTCCCACTGAGCTCTGCAATTATCATGATAATCATTCTCAGCAGAGGCCTGATTCAGCGTTTTTTTTTTTTTTTTTACAGTTCTTTGAGAGCGGCCGTCCGTAAATATCGCCTGGGGGTGTGCAAAATGGAAAAATCGAAAACCCCGAACTTTGTCAGAATATAGGTCTAGGTAAACTATTTCTAGAAAAATAACTTTTAGTTCGATTGGAGTACAGCGACCGAGTCGGTTCGGAGGCTCTCAGATCAGTTTTCAAGGGCTCAAGACCATATATTACTTAAAAATCGTTTAAAAATTAAAGAAGTAAAAAACTCTGCCTCTGAAAATCTTAATAGAGAGAGTACAACTTAACCAATAGTTTCGATGTGAAATTTTCCTAATATTTTTCGGATTTTTAATTATTTTACTTATTTTACCGATTTTTGACAGACATAAAATTGGCAAATTTCAGACACAAAAAGCACTACTTGGTATACAGCTTTGAGACATAACTTACCTACTTATAGAAAGAGCAAGGTGTCTTTCTCAAATAAATGTAATAAAGTTTTTGGGCAATCCTGCGGGGAAAATTTTTGAACGCCAAACAAAAGCGACCCTTGAGGTCAAAACACGCCATTTTGTCACGACAACAACGATACTCCCGGTAAACGAGATACTTATGCGTTTTTCCGCATGGAACTCTTTCCATTTGCCTAGACAATTTCTTTTTAAACAGCTATATGCCTTGTTCCGTGCATTTTTTTGGGAACCGTTTGCTAACAGGTGACATTTTGCGTCTTGCAGTATCTATACTCTTCGTAAGTTGTCGCGATCGAAAGCCCATTGAAACGTCATAGCTTGTTAGGACTCAAAATAATTCACGCAATTCAACGTGGAATTGTAACCTTCTTAATATGATACTAAGAAACCCTATTTATACACCTACCATTTCTTTAAAGCCTATCAAAGATATGCAACAGCATACTGTCTTCCCATCCTGTGCCAAATACTTGTATATCACGTTTGCGTGACAGAGAACAGGAAGTGCAATGCACTTCAAACCGGAAGCTGACTGAACAATTTAAGCAGCAGGACAGACAGTCATTCAAAACTATCCCAGCCTGAAACTATCCCGTCCTAGGACGTCTCTTTTTTTTTCCTTTATATTTTAGCTCATTAGATCTTTGTGCTGGAGATCCAACGTTGACAACCAGCAGGATCTTCGTTTTTATTCCTTAAAGTTTCGTAGTGGGCAACAAATTCAATAGAAACGTTTATAATTGTAAACAACAATCTTTAAAAAGGCTCTAACTTATCACTAGTTCAAACATGAGAGAAAATAAACTGAACTGACTGACTGAACACACTATGACAACCTTCCACTTCCGGTTTAAGAAATAAACTGCAAAAGCCGTGGACGAAGATCTTGCGTCATGGTTGCAATCGTTTGATCTCTAGAAAAAAGATCTAATCAGCTAAAATACTGAGAAAATAAAACTGAGACGTCCTAAGACTACTGCAACGTGTATCACTCGAGTACACAACGCCGTCAGCAGCTGCAAGGTTGGCAGGAAGCTTTGTCGCTAAGTTTGCTATGATGTTGTAATCCACAAAGAGAACATCTTAAGCTCTTCCAGTGAGACAGCATTCGGCCTTAATCCTTGAACCTGAAACGGACAGCAGAGGCGTAGAGCGTGCTGCGTTTGATGTACGTACCGTTGTACCATAGTTGGAATATTATCAAAGGATACCCATCCATTATGGAAATAGAGTCAATCTGGGACATCCTCACATCCATATTTGGAATCTATCAACATATGATACCCAAGCGATCAAAACGCAGTAAAGTTTCTAGTGAAATTTCTTCCGAATTTCCAAAGAAAACGTGTTGAAATATCAATTATTTATGAATGTAATTTAAAATTAGTGAAAATATGCCAAGTAGCTCCATGGGGTGTTCCTCAGTTTAATCTGATGATCTTTTGGCTTAAAATAAGCATGCCAGGATAAGCAGACCAGATATCCCAAAATAATAGATAACGCATGTGGCATAATTTTTTGTTTCTCAAAAGTTTCGTCAGTCTCCTGATTTTGTAATCAGTTCGTCGTACTTTCAACCAGCCAACTGACATATCTTTTTTACTTTTAGATTTTAGTTTTAGGAAGGATTTAGTGCATTATGCGGCACAAATCTTACTTACTCCTACCAGAACTTTTCAGACACAGAGCTGACATTCCCCTCCCCCTCCCTCTGAAGCATCACCCTACCCTAGGACAAAAGTGAGTAACCCATTCTCCTTCCCGCTCCGAGCAGTTACGGTGACCAGTGATGGGGGAAGACCGCAGTAGCCGGTTATATATTTCCAAAATATCTTCATTTCTTAAGAGATATATAAGTATTATATTTATTCTTAATACATCGTTATGTAAGCCAACGTCGGTAAATCTGTTCTTTTGTCTGCATGAATCCAATTGGTAGTAAGTTTTGAACCTGGGGTTTTGAAAAATGTGATTCGAATGCTGTCAAACATTGACCGCCCGTTAAAATTAGGCTTTCGACTGCCAACGGACGCATTGTATAAGTGAAATAATTAGGCAAAAGAAGTGCAAATAAGTCGAGTCTAATCAATATTGCTCAAGAGCATAGAGCTTTTGGAGGAATCTGGCCAATAGAGCATTTTTATTGATTTAACCGCCTTCGAATGTCGTGACAAAATGGCGTGTTTTGACCTCAAGGGTCGCTTTTGTTTGGCGTTCAAAAATTTTCCCTGCAAGATTGCCCCAAAATTTTATTGCATTTATTTGAGCAAGACACCTTGCTCTTTCTATCGGTAGTTAAGTTATGACTCAAAGCCGTATACCAAGTAGAGATTTTTGTGTCTGAAACTTGCCAATTTTATGTCTGTCAAAAATCGGTAAAATAAGCAAAATTATTAAAAATCCGAAAAATATTAGATTTGCTGACGAATAGGAAAATTTCACATCGAAACTATTGGTTAAGTTGTGCTCTCTCTATTAAGATTTTCAGAGGCAGAGTTTTTTACTTCTTTAATTTTTAAACGATTCTTAAGTAGCATATGGTTTTGAGCTCATGATAACTGATCTGAGAGCCTCGAACCGACTCGGTCGCCGTACGCGTAAAATAAAAATCCAATCGAACTAAAAGCTATTTTTCTAGAAATAGTTTACCTAGACCTATATTCTGACAAAGTTTGGGGATTTTCCGTTTTTTCATTTTGCACACCCCCAGGAGATATTTACAGACGGCCGCTCTTAAACTATGTTTGGAAACAGGTTTCCATTTTAAATACCTTTTAAATCGGGATAGTTGGCATTTTTCCTTTAAAATACTGTGAAAATAGCATGTTTCAATCCCGTTTGAAAGAATTTTGGTACTCTTTGTTCTAAAAATATGGTTTAAGTATCTGTTTTAAATTTAGTTTTAAAACCTCCGAAAATTATATAAAAAGTGTTCAAATAGATCCCAAATGCATTTTAAGCTCCTATGACTAATTGATTTTATTCGTGAAAAATAATAAAAATACCCCAAATTGGGGTAAAAATAGTTTTTAAATCATTAAAATGTATTTTAACTACTTTTCAACCGTTTCAAAATACAGTTGGTAAGGGGCTTCTTATCATAAAAGCTTCAACTTGCAATTGAGGTCAGATACACCGAGGATTTTCTTTGACTGTGCTGTTAATATACCTGAACTTTTATGACTGCAACCAAGTTTGGATTCTTTTACGGGACGCCTTTCACAGCAAAAAACCGAATAAACAAACAAGCTTCGTGCAAATAAAAAGAATATGGGGAAACATGAAAAATATAAGTATTAATCTTGATAGCATTTGCATTCATTTTGTAGCGGCGGTGAAGGAACTCGAACAAGAGACACAAAGTTCTGGCTTCAGCTGTCGCTAAAAAAAGATTCCAGGTGCTTCACGAGTTTTACGTATCTGTTCATCTGCAAAAATTGTGGCCAGTCTTAATCGTGGATCTTGACCAAAGCTTGACAACGTCAAAATTGGAAAAGCGAAGCCTCAAAAATGTATTTTAAAAGATTTTTGTTGAACACACTGAAACTTCAAAATATTTACCGGAGCAACTGTATTGCTTACCTCAAAACTGGCTAACTCACCGCAAAACTTTTGCCAACAGGAGCCTTTTGTCAAAACAAACGTAACTTGTATGTCTATAACTCCCTCTCTTTACAGAATTTCCACTGCGCCCTCTCAGTACGCTGAAGTCATAAACAAAAATTTCGCCCATCAATATATTTTTATACAAAGAAGTGACTGCTACGCGCGCTGTGATTGGTCGTTGCCCATGATCTATTGGAGTACAGATAAATGGATGACGAGTAAACTTGTTTTCTTTGTTTTGCTCAACATGGCGCGCGGTTTTGAAAATGTTTGTGAGATTATTTCGAACTAAAGCAAGTGAAATCTTCGAAAAAAGTTTAGGAGGAGCTATTTAAAAAGAAGAAAAATGGAGAAACGGAGACAAAAAGAGTTCTTGAGTACCTGAGGATGCGTAAACAACAAGAAATCTTCACAGCAGTTTCCATCGTGTGCCATCGCTACGAGAGACTCGCTGTTTTGCAAAATGTTTTCGCCATTATTCTGATTTGAACACGAAAAGACGTTGAAAAACTTTTCGAAGAAACTATACAAGTGCGATAAAGAAAAAGAGAAGAAGCAGAGACGAAAAGAAGCGTTTGGGACTTTAGCACAAATCGTCGGACAGTCAAGCGGTTCGAGGAAATTATGTGTATCGGTCTTTTTTTTCTTTTCTGGTCATAGTA